GAGATGAAATGCCAAACTTTTTTCCCGTCACAGAAAAAATTCCATTACTCTACTTCGTTCATTGAACTTTTTTTTTGCTATATTAATACGGCCCACTAACATTTGTTTAGATATACTCTCATCTGAATTTTTGGGTCAGGGGCTGAAATGAATGCAGGAAAGCACATTTTTAAAGCTTTTACGAAATACATGAGTGAAGCTTATTAGCGACCATTCTTGTCATATAATCATCGTATATAACGAAACAAAACGATAAAAAAATAAACAGAGTTATATTCGATTATCCATAGTTGAAATAAATATAACTCAATAAAATATACAGCGTGAATCAAATGTCTATGTGAATATTTCAATGACAGATCGTTGGGATTAGAATGATATACTTTTTCTTCATATGAACATGTGCATTTTAGGACATATGATTATATGAAGGAAGAAGTATCATTTTGATCCCTACAATACATCCTTGAATTATGTTTTTCTGTGACGGGAAAGAGTTTGAAATTTCATATTTGTTGACAGGTTATAACATGTCACTTTTCATAAATTACTTTTTTCTCACGGAAAAAAGTGATGCCTTTTATTTGTTGTGCTTTAGTTCCGGAAAGTAAACCAATAACACTGTCTCTGAGAAGGGAATGCAAGTCCTTATCATTCCATTCGACTTCACGGTTACGTAATTTATTGAGCAACCACTAAATTCACAATTTCCAGAATCATACTGCGAAAAGATGCATGCAACGCAGGTGTGATTCCTGTTAAAAACTTGAAATTTCATGTCGATAATACATTTTCTGATTCAAATATATTGTCATATCTTTTCAATATTGATTCGTCTTTCCACCTGTCACAGAAAAAATAGTAAATTATACACGGAAAATATATTAGATTTTAGCTCACGGTTTTTTGTCTCACACATCCTGGTGCAATAATGTACTACTTTCTTCCCTTGTATAATAAATGACTATACATCGAATTATGCATCACCCATGCTGATAATTAAAACGTATTAAGAGAATATGAAGAGTATAGAATTTATTTAAAGGTTCTGCATTGGGATTCAAATACAAAGAAAATCCAATGGAACCATAAAAATATTTTTCTGGTTTCATTTTCTGTCACTTGAATCATTTGAAGAAACCTTACTTGTATATTTTTATAATATACAGTTACCATTTCGTGATGGTGGTATACAATCTGAACTCAAAAATTTCGAACAATTTTTGAAATAATTGCATGTTTTAATAGGCCTAAATCGAACTCACAAATAAAAACAGTGTTGTGAATTATTATACTTCATCAAGTAATTTAATAAATAAATAAATAAATAAATAGGAGATAATTATACCTAATGAATTCCCAATATAAAATGCTTCGCGTTATAATCATTGATTTCCGAAATTCAAGGAATCAAGCCTAATAATAAAATTTTGTATGATCACAAAGTTGAAGAAATAATTATTAAGTACGTTTTCACTAACAATAGTCAGAAATGCTAACGAAAAACTACCTTATATCACATACGATACATGAAGGGGGTCCTTAACACACATAAAGCATACGAAAAATAATTATATAGCCTTTTAGCACCAATAGCCAATTGCCAAATGAGAATAACGCGTGATATTTTTCTGTATGTATAGGTATGTCGTATAGTTTTGTCTCTCTCGGAAGATTGTTGCATTTGTAGTGTTGACTATGAGGATTGTCTATTTCAGTTTAAAGTCGTCAATGCTTAAGCTAGATAATTATTTCTTAAGACTATCCTACCATTCTCACATTTAATTAAACGTGTTTATAACGTCGCTAAGTGTTGAGTTTTCAATAAAATTTCAAATAAACAACATTACCCTTCCATGCTCAGAAGAACAATTTTGAATCAGAGAGAAAATTCTATCACTATCGAATAATGTTCTGTCTATGTTTTGAAGACTGCCACTATGATAGACCAGGATCGATCATTTTTTCATCAAAAAAATAATAGTAGGATGACACCCATAGACAAGAAAGCGAATAAAAATTGAAGGAAAAATAATGTACGGTCGATCTGAGGTCGGGAAGTTGACCCTTTCAAAAAACGGTTTATCACAATTTCCGGCAAAACTACAAGTCCTATGGAAACTAGTTCAATGGCAGAGTTGTAGGTAATGAAGTGAATTTTCATCATTTACGAAGAATATTTTTTCTACGAAATTTGGTAATAACTGACCTTCTTATGGCCCATCTGAAGACACCCAATTTTTTATGATTGGAAATATTCTTGGTTTCACCAAAGCAACCTTATTTCCAATCGAAATTTCTCTCGTCAAAATATCTGCTTTTTTGCAGTCGGTGAGCATTTATTTGTTCTAATCTCTTCTTTCTGATGGTGTCAAAACAAATATACATAACTGTGGTGAATTCTATCAGAAAATGCAAGCATAATAACAGGTTATAGGGCCCTGCTTTCCTAGCCCCTTCACCACTTCTCTATAAAATACCTCGTGATGGGCTACAATTCATCGTATATCACACATCAGGGATATAAGTTATTGAAAAGGAATATTATCAGATGAATTATGAGCTGGAAAGAATAAGAAAATGGATATACATACTTATGAATAATTACATTGAGAATTCGCATTCTCTATATGATAACAATATAAATTCTTTCTCGGTTTATTCAAGAGACTACTACTTTCCTGGCTGTTTTCCGATGAATGAACCGAGAAAGAATTCATATTTTTATCACATAAAGAATGCGAATTCTCATTGAATTCTTTCATATGTATATCCATTTTTTTCATTCTTTATGTTCATAATTCATCTGAGAATATTCCTTCACAATGCTTTCACCCTATATCAAGGGGTCCAAACTTGAAAGATGGGAACTTGTTAGTTTGATAGACTTTTCAATCGCAGATTCGTGATAAGGTTTTCTCAATTTGGAATTTCTTTCCACGTCTTGTATGATATCAATTTGTCATACATTACAAAAGAAGAGATAAATTGTATCTCAAAATAACAGTAAATAAGCCTTTCCAAAAATATTGTAGATGACTCATTTCATTGAAAATTAACCAACTACCTGTTATTCTTTTTGCATTTTCTGAAAACATTAACCATAGTAATGTATATTTTTCAACATCATTGGAAGTGAAGATTATAACAAACAAAAATCCCACCGACTTCTTTGAAAAAGTAGATATTTTGACGGGAGAATTTATTATTTTTGAATTATAATGCCTTTTTCGATTTCAAGTCAAAATAAGGTTGAAAAGTGGATATTCTAAATCAGACGGACTACCTACAGTGTGTTAATGGAACATGACGAGGTGGGTTTCCATGAAATAAAAAAAAATTTTTTTTTGTAAAAGATAAAAATGAAGAATTAAAAACTTGGTAAATTGAATTCTTCACATAAATATTGAGTTCATGTGAAGAAAAAAATAGAAACAAAAGGTATAGATCGTTCAATTATCTACAACTTTGCGATACAACTTTTGTTCGTAGGACTCGTAGTATTGGCGGAAATCAAGATAAACCGTTTCGACTCTCAAGAACTCGCCCCCTTTTACTTCCCTGCCCTAAATCGCCAGTAAATAATTTTTCGTTTCATTTCTGTTATATTCTCTTCCTTTTCTAATGGGTGTCATCCCGCTTTCTTTTTCTCTTCTTATCATTTTCGAAGGCTTCTGCCCTAGTCTATGAGAGGTATTTCAGCAGGAAGAAACAGATTTATTTTTGGCTTTACTAGACTGCAGCGCTGAATGATGTATGACCGGCAAGTAGGTACTCAGTGCCAGATTTTCGGACGTGATTTCACTCAGTATGCCTTCTGGAGGGTATCATTATGTTTATACAGGTTGTCTGTGGAAGGTTGGGACATGGCTTGGCTGTGAACTCCTGTGATGAAAACAAGTTGATTTAGGCCAACTTACCTATATCCAAAATCGTCTCGTTGAGTTGATACAAGGAGTTGAATTTAATAATAATTTTGCTCATAAAAAGAGTAGGCTAAGATATATAACTGTCAAATATTCAAAATACAAGGGGTCAAGTACACACTTACCCTCAAATTCTTTTTGTACGTGCGCTAATGACTTCCTATCTATTTTTCTTCAAGTGTTCAATTATATTTTTGAGTATTTTTTGTTGATTGTGAAATTTCGATAAAATCATTTGTCTGGGGATGTATGAAAGATTTTGTGTATAAGCCACATATTTTTCGAAGGCTAAGATTCTCTTTCATTAAAAGGGCTCGCATGTGTATTCAAAAAATTGGAGGTCATCATCATTTCTATAATTTTTTTTTCTGCAAAAGTTATTTCAATACATTCGCTCTGAGCACCCGGTATTTCCATATTTACCTTTTCGTACGTAAAAAGTTACGCCCTCTTCCAATTTCGACGAAATTAATGGGAGTATGTGATTATGAGATACCCTCGGAGATTACCGTAAGCCGCATAGGCATCAAACAATAACCAGTACTTTTCTAATTATTTTATCGAAATTTTACAAGATACAAAAAATACTTAAAAATGATTGAACACTTGAAAAAAAATTGATAAGAAGTCATTAGCGCACGTACAAAAAAAATATGGGGGTAAGTGTGTACTTGACCCCCAGTATTCTGAATATTTGACAGTTATTGTCTGTTTCGTTTTCCTCAAACAATGTAGCTCTTTGTGCTGAAGTGATGTACCAATTTTGAGATCAATATAAATATCAAATACGCGAGTAATTAGAAAAAAACAGTTTTTAATTCCCAACTTTGACACCCTGTATATCGAATATGGAAGGTTGAAATGAAAAATGGTATTTTGAAACTCATATTGTTCTTGTTCAAGGAATATATGGTTAATGGATTGACCTCCATTTAGCGGACACCCTGTATACTTAATGATCCCCACTAGTAGGCATACTGAGGGAAATCACGTCCCAAAATGTGTCACTACCTGCCGGTCTATGTGTGGAGTGGTGGTTTTATTGCTGAGAAACTAAAATGGCGATCGGGGAGTTCAAAATTCCAGTCTGTAGGCGCTGCATGAGGTCTCGTGGTCTTGCAGATTGATGGTACAGCGCGAGGCAGAAGGGGAGAGATCTATCTTGAGCTTCGTCAAAGTTTCTTCGTTTTCGGCTACCCAGTAACCCAGAATGTCCGTATCATACGTAGGGATGATGGTGACTTCTGAAAATCAAGATAACGATGATGTTTATTCCAATAAGAAATAAGAGATATATTGACTAATCGCTGGCCCAATATTACGTGGTTCTGAGTAATTTAATGCTCGGAAAGAGAAAAACGAATTCAACAATTTTTCTGTTAGAATTGAAAAATAGTAGATTGTTTTATTAGGATCAAAAGTGACACTTTGTTTGACAAGCGAATTTTGCATTTGCGAGGCGGAGCATTTAGCGAAGCCGAGCGAAAGCAAAATTTGCGAGTCGAACAAAGTCACTTTTGATTCGAATGAAACATGCTATTTTTTCTGCAACCGAAACAATTAACTCAAATGAATATGTGAAGTTACCACCAATGCCGTGCCATATGTATGCAATGCAACAAATATTGACAAATAATCCGTGTAGTGAGAACATTCTACCTGCATCAACAGCAGGTTCATTCAATTTCCAAGGATGTTCGAATTGTAGTTTCAATATAAGTACAATCACAGAGTGACATATTTGTGTATGGACCAGGTGCTCTAATAGCAAATACCGCGCCAGTGCCAGCTATAGGACACAAGACGTGGAAAATGTTAGGTTAATGAGCATATCAACAATGATAATGGCGATTATTTACTCCTCTTTATGATACAATGTTTTTCGCTTAATAATCAAATGAAGCTAAACAATATCGTTGTTTGAGACAAAAAACTAATGCTTGCCGTGATTATTCAAAAACAAGTTATCCATCCCGAGAATAACGAATGAAATACAGATCAAGCAAGTATTTGAATCTTGAAGGCTTTCCTGATCAAACAAAAATACTTAGCTGAGATGTTTATAATTCCAATACTAAACTATAATAAGGTGTATTTATATCTCCAGCATGGATATGAAATTCCAAATCTGCTGAAATCGGAAACAAATCAGGTATGCGTCTCAACCCAAATATCCAACCGTCACAATGTTGTTCATTCTTGATGACGTCCAGTACTTCCTTTTCAGTTCCTAGGAGCTAAAGTTCAACTTCAGCTCCTAGGAACTAAAATTCAACTTCAGCTCCTAGGAACTAAATATGTTGTCAATTTAAGAGCTAATTTTGGTATCAAAATGGACGACTTTTGTGTCGGTTGCAGAAAAATATGTTCATATTATATGAAAACATATTCTGATTTCCTTCATTCTGTTAGGTGTAAATCCAAAGTGAACAAACACAACCAAATAATGATTGAACAGAAGATATATATAAAAAAAACACATGATGTGATATTGCGTGAGTCCTTGAAATACTAACAAAATGATGTAATAAATAAATAAATGATTTTCTATCCGAATTCATTATCCCTTCCTTTTCTTCATTTAATATCATCTTCCGGCATCCATTTGAATATTGAATGTAAGCAATAGATCATTTGACAGTTGATAGTGGAGTGTGTCGCTGTCAGTGGTCACGCCCCAAATTCGATGGATGTTTATATGAACATCACAACGACTGCATATGAAAATACGATATTGAACTATTGGATTCCATGAAATAATGAATGTAATAATCTTAACAAATCCAACTCGTTGCATTGATGATTATCGAGGATTCCTCTTCTTTTTCGAAACAATTCTAGTTGCTCAAAGATAGCTTTGATTCTGAAATGTAATAGATAGGTAGCACCAATAAGAACAAAGTTTGAAGTCCTAAATTGGCTAACTGTATAGGAGCGCTTGTTTTATATCTCAATGATACTCATTTTCAAAATGATTTCTGGTAATAATGCTCCCATATACTTTGATAAATTCATCATATTCCAGCATCAGATTCATAATAATTATTCTACCAGAAGTGATAATAACCTGTATGTATCACGTCTTAATTTTACACTAGGTCAAAATGAACTCATTCTTGAACTTAATTCATAAAGGACTACTAGAGTACAATGGCCTCCCAGATGAAATGAAACAAAGTGATTGAAGCATTCAAGAAACCTCTCGTTAGATATTTGAAAATGCAATGTCCATTATATTTTTATAGTTGATAGTCACCACAATAGAACCATACTTTCATTGTTTTTTCTTCATAACCAAATAGTCTTCATTTCACTATTTATTGATTGGATTCTTCATTATTCAATATCTTTATATCTGTGTAATATACTTATACAGGGTGGGCCACCAGTAACGCCTCGGTCTCTAGAAGGCTAACCACTTATCTTCTTGGAATTATTCCTCTCTAGAAAGTTGCATGTCAACATAGGCTACCATTTGAAATTATTTCGAAACATACAGGGTGTCCCCAAAAACCATAAAACACTGAAGTCGAACTTTTTTCTATCGAACACCCTATATATTATTTCATTTTGAGATTCTCCCTGGTGAGCTGATTTCAACAATTTCAACAATGCATCATACTTGGGGTCTAGCAGTTATAATTACTGAAATATAGGGTGTGAAAAATCGAGATTTTCCAAGTTCAAGAATTTTTTGTGTCGAAACTATTCATAATTGGTCAAAACGGCTTACATGTCCCTATCTCAACTTTTGATCAACTATCTACTGATATTTAATTGGGACATATACCGGGTGATCAAGATTCTGAATTCTGCACCACCCTGTATTTGTTCCAATTAAATGTCAGTAGATAGTTGATCGAAAGTTGAAATAGGGACATGTGAGCCGTTTTGACCAATTATGAATGGTTTAGACACAAAAAATTCTTGAACTTGGAAAATCTCGATTTCTCACACCCTATATCTCAGTAATTATAACTGCTAGACCCCAAGTATGATGGATTGTTGAAATCAGCTCACCAGGGAGAATCTCAAAATGAAATAATATATAGGGTGTTCGATTGAAAAAAGTTCAACTTCAGTGTTTTGTGATTTTTGGGGACATCCTGTATGTTTCAAAATAATTCCAATACCTACCTCCTGTCCCTATCCTCCCTAGGAACGCACGATGTTCTTTGAACATTATAGGGATTCCCTTTTGTGCGCTCCAAGCGATAAAAAAAAAGCCTATGTTGACATGCAACTTCCTAGAGTGAAAGAATTCCAAGAAGATAAGTGGTTAGCCTTCTAGAGACCGAGGCGTTACTGGTGGCCCACCCTGTATAATTGAGACCTCAAAATTTATGAAATCTATTATGTAGTTTGTGTATTAGGATGCCCTATCCCTATTTAAAACCCAGATATGCCTATAGCGTTAATCGAAAATATCAAAGAATCACTTTACTGGAACTAGAGCTTATGAGTGACAAAAAAGACATAGAGACTCGAAAAAAAATTTATTTCACGAAAAAAACCAAAATTTAGACCGTACTACATATAGTACATTAGGCAGGAGCACTACTATGAAAAAAATGCTGTATCATTTTGTATGGAATAAAACGAAGCACTTCACGTGTACTCCAATGTCACATTTTGAGCACCTTGTTGTTGTTCTCTCATGACAGTATCCACACCGTGTCTGTTTTGCCTGTGCAATCACAAGATGGTCTAATCGGCCGTATCGCAAATCAATTCCTTGTGTTTTACCCGAATGTCCCTTCTGGAAAGTTACTTGCTTTTTGTTCTGAATGAGCAACATTGTGGCAATTCGTCTTCTGAAATTCAGCTGATCTAGGTTACCTCCATTTTTTTTATGTAGCCAAGCGTTGCGTAGAAATGTTCTTTCGTCAGCTCTTCAATCAGAGGAATGGACGTGAAGAAGTTGTCGAAAAACAGATGGAATTCTTTATCCGTCCATTTCTTTCGCAAAGCTTGTGCATATTCTGAAACGACTGCTGCACCAACTCCAAACTCTGCATACCGTTCACTTATATTCGTTGCAGCCCCTTGGTACGGTTCAAACCAATTCAAGTAACCAAGTCTAGTACTTCCAACCCATAATTTGAAGCCATATCTTATTGGCTTTCCGTGAATGTACTGTTTGCAGCCATGACGCCCGTAATAAGGTACCATGGCCTCATCAATTGAGTGCATTTCTTCGACAAACGAGTTCTCCAAGAACTTTTTATTCAGAAGATCGAGTGAAGACGGGGCCTCACTTTCGCGAATTTGTCATTTTGGTCTAAGTGATGATTATCTGATACATGTAAATTGTAAAATAGATATTCGAATCGGTCTCTTGAAATCGCTTCGGCAACCAACTCGTTGTGACCATCTTTTTCACGCTCCCAATACATTCTTCTCCTTGGGACTGGTACATATCCACTGAGCAATAAAACTCCAATGAATGCTTTGAATTCTGAATGTTTCATATTCGATGTTCGATTTTTCTGTTGGGCATATTTATTGCTGTTACTCACGAAAAGATCCATCATTTGAGGGCACGTCGTCCTCTGATGAATTATCATCATCAGTTTGAAATCTTATTTCCGCTTGTGCTTGTAACTGCGATGCAGCTAGATTATCAATTGTAAAAATATCCTCCGCTCCAGAATCTTCATCTGTAATTTCAGCAGTTGCATTTTCTGGTGGTAACATGATGATTTCATCAACAGTTTCAGCAGTTTCAACATCATCTTCTAACATAGCAAGAGCTTCGTTGAGAGAGAAACCTCTGAAATGAAATGGTATTGATAGACCTTCATTAGCCTGATGTACTATATTTAGTACATCCCTAAAAGTCGTTCTTGAAAAAATATTATTTATAAGAATAATGGATGTATCTAATCAATTCATGATATAATCATTATTCATCATATTATTACCAGCCAATTATGGAATTTATCTCTATTTTCTATACTTCAAATCAACTTACCTAGCAAAGGTTACCCAGCAAACATTGAACTAACGGGAGAAGTCCGGCCTAGTGTAGGTAAGTCTGGGAAAGTGACGATGCCGGGGTATAGGTAATGGGCCGATGATTTTCCCATGCCAAGTAACCATCAGTTAAAAATACGATGATGGCCTTGTGATGGTAAGATGTCTGGAACTATTTGAATACTAACGAGATCTGGCCCTTTGCTGGCCAATTTCATATTCACTACCCGTCCCCCTGGCGGATGTTTCGGGAACGTCTACATCAACAATCAGCTGATCAATATCATATGTGACTAAGATGGCTGACTCTCGTGAGTGGTGATCGCGTACTAGTTTGTTTATGTCGAATTGATGTGGTCCTCTCTTTCCGTGGTGGTTATTTATGATGGCAGGAGTATTCTCAATTGATAATAATAGAAGACAGATTCTTCAATTATGGTAATAATGAGTAAGTATCAATGTACCTCTACATAGTGTTTTGAATGTCATTATTTGATGCATGTGTTTGGTATCTCGTAACCTCATATACCTAATGATTATGATAATTAGAGTTAACTATACTTCTCTAAAAGCAACCATCATTTTTAACTCGTTTGTTGCTATCAAAAGCAATCTCAGGTTATGTGAACCTATCTCTATATTGAATAACTGAATAACAATAAGATTTCAGCTACAGAATTACCTCTGTGGCAACACCATAATGAAAATTGAAAAGCTTCATGCTATCACGTCATTTGACTATATTATGAAGTTATAAACTCATGCAACTCATAGGCCACTAATATTAAACAAATGATGCATTTTATATTTCAGAAGTACCTCACAACGAAGAATCAACTTCGAAGGGATGCTACCCAATAAGATGTAGATACCACACACCAACCAGTAAGCAGTCACTCCGAGAAGTTTCATCGTTGAAGAACAGAGAGGTTGAGAAGATATCATTGTATCATTCATAAAATTGTTTTCTTGAAATCTGGTATGTGTCTGAATTATTATGAGAGAGTTATGTTGTGAAATAAAGAGGTACTAGAACTTTCAGATCCATTGGACCCCTAAAACCCCTACCCCTCCCCTACCTCGATAGTATGTAACCCAATGTCGTTGATTGGCCATTACAGTCCCATCATTTATGTTTATGCTGGGCTTGCTATGGGAAACTCAATGTGTCGATTATGTTGTACTGGCCTTTTGCCGGGGAACTGAATATGATTGCTGGGTACCCAGCACTGGGGCCAGCTGCCGGCCGCAGTGTACTGATATATAGAGTCCCGCATATGGGACCATTTACTGGGCCGCTTATGTCAGGTATGGGAAAAATATACTAGGCCATTGATGCCCCATATCAACATGTTTGCTGGGTACACCGAATTCAGCCATTTCTATTTATATCCATTCTTTGAAAGGATCAAATTCGCACTTCCACTCCCCAGAACTGACTTAGTCTGCACAGGCACAATGATCCGACTATACTGAAGCATTCGCCACAGCGTTGGATCACGCGCGCCAAAAATCCGCTACAAGTTGATACTTGTTGGGACCGTACTTTATATAGTACAATAGGTACATCTGGGTTTTAAATAAATAATTTTTATTATTATAGTTGGGGAGCTTCCACCCACCTAGATCTTTGTCCTCCCATGTCTGCTTGGCCTCCAGCAAAGCGTCGTACACCTCTCTACTAGGCTCCACCCCCGAAAACACGTAGTACCTCGCCCTCACCCTCCTGAAGAAGTCCACGCATGCGTAGTACGAGTTGCCGTGATGAGGCACGTACGTCAGATCCACGTACACCGGGTTCACCCTCTTGGTTCTGTTGTACTTCGATGGAGATTCGGCCCTCTTTTTGTCGTCGTTCAGTTTGTTCTTGGCTGTGACGTTGGCCGGCAGTTTCCTTTCTTTCTTTGGTGTGGACTTGTTGTCGCCAGGGGGCGCTGGGCTTGGTAAGCCCAGAGGTTTACCTTTAAAAATGATAATAGATAGATAAGAGCAGTTATATTACACCTATACACCAAATCTGGGAACCGGGAGGATACCACCAAATATACCGGGTGACACAGGGTATCGGGCCACCCCTATAACTTCTGCATTCGTCAACGGATTTTTCTGAAATTCGGTACAGTTATATAAGCAATTATTTCGGATTTGATCACATTACAATCCAATATGGCGGACGTCCGGTATTTCTGGAAATGCCAGCAACTTTGTTTTTTCAAATGAAACACCCTGTATATTTTTACATATTCAAGTTCAACAACAGGCCGAAACAAGTAGAATCTCAATTTCAAATGTCATTTTTTCGGAAAAATTTGAATTAAAATTGTTTTTTCATTTTACCTCGTGGATAAATGAGATGTGGTCAAGACTATTCACAATGAGTCACACATAACAGAAGAACATGATTTTTTCTGAAAAATTATTTTTTGTGTCACTTATCCAGGAACCAATTCAGCCACATCACTTTTTGATCAAAAATTAATTTTTTTTCAATGGAACCCCTATGGGCCACCTACCCGTCTCTCTAAAACATACATTAAGGAACAAAATGACATATCATTTTTGTTTTTCGGTGCAGTAACAAATTGTATACATTCTAAAATCAACAACTAGTTTATGAATTTCCTTGCAGTTAGAATAATTTTTCAACTAGGTAAGCTGTGGAATAAATGACATGAGACATCAAGATTGCACTTGTTTTGATCTGTTAAACTTGGATATGTGAAAATATACAGGGTGTTCCATTTGAAAAAACAAAATTGCTGGCATTTCCAGAAAAACCGGAAGTCCGCCACATTGGATTGTAATGTGATCAAATCTGAAATAGTTGCTAATATAACTGTACCGAATTTCAGAAAAATCCGTTGACGAATGCAGAAGTTACAGGGGTTGCCCGATAACCTGTGTCACCCGGTATAGGCATATGTATTCAATCAAAAATTCCCAAAATGTTAAATAAAATGGTAACAGCCTATCTGTCAGCACAACTCTCGAATATTATACACCAAGGTAGCAAATAATATCATTATTACCAAGGGACCAAGGTTATATCCTTAGGCTTCAGCCGAAAGGTATAATGTCCTGTGGTAATAATATTCTTTATAACCAAGTTGTATATCAAATATATTTCATGACTTGCGATATATTTCAATTATAATAGTTCTGTGAAACTGAAATTTGGTCCTATTGTCACCACTTCTTTTCAATTCTTATTGAAATCTACTAGCCATGACCATGACAGCGTAAAAGTCGTAATCGATACATACCTACTAGTAGATTCGAGGTCTATTCCTGTGAATCTCGTATCAGAACAGTGGATTTGGTTCATTTATAACAGAGGTGGCTATGTATTTATTGACTAGTAGTTCATGAAATGACAAAAAGTATATTCGTAGAAAAAACACACTCCACGCCTTGGAAAGAAGTGAATAATGTTAGGTTCTATATCTTTAGCTAGTGATGGGAAAATAAATTGAACATTCATTTTTTACCCAAATATATAGTTGAGACTGCGATATTCATAACAGCTGGAAGTGATTTCTGAAGATTTGAAAAATGTTTCAATGTGATTATCATCGCTTCTAAATAAAATGATAATAAAATCATACGTCAGCTCTATCACTGTCATATGCTAATCAGAGATCATTATCAATTTGAATATCTGCCACTGACGTGATTATCATCTCAATTTTCTTCAAAAACACAAAAAATTCCACTATGCGTCAAACGACCATGTTAGAAGAATTCAACTTTCAATAGAAAAGATGAATAGTTATTGGACGTGGAAAAAATAACAAACATTCTTGCAATTTTTCTCATCGACATGGATGAAAATTGCCTATAAAAACCTCTATTTTGAATCAAATATCTTCAAACTGTCCACTGTCGTAGCTCCAGTTGGATCAAGATCACATCTGTAGCTCAAAAATATGGAAGAAAAAGTTATCACAACTTTCTGTGGCGAGGATAAAATGATCGAGGTTACTGTATCGTCAAAATATGAAGGGGTATTATATATCAGAATCGATTGAAAAAAATTCAACAGGTATAGGTACCTATTCCTAAACAACAATTTCCATTTATGAACTTGAACACTACGTATTTTCGAAACAGCCGCTTCCGAAACGTTGTGTACCGGATTTTGCAACACCCTTTACAACCCGAGCAATCGGAGTCCAAACTCGAACGTTTCTACTCTTCATAGTTCGTTATTGTACTAATTCAGATATTTGATTCACATAATCTGACCTTCTTATTACCTGAACGAAAATACTCACCCCAAGATTCAATAGGATCCTTTGTTTCAGAAGGCAGCTCCCCATAAAAACTGGCAGTCATCAAATCACTCTGTTCGCTATCCCGATTCAATCCAAATCCAGCATCCTCAAACCCATCTCTAGCCTCTCTTCCATACCGCTCTCCATGACTAGACGACCCTTCATGCAAATGCGTAGGAGGCGTTGGTAAGCCCAAAGGTTTACCCCACGACTCGATAGGGTCTTTCTTTTCTTCACTAGAAGATGGCAACTCCCCAATGAAACTGGAACTCATGACGTCACCAACACCACGGCTAGGCGAGGAGCTAGGATGTTCACTGACGAAACTAGAACTCATGACGTCACCAACACCACGACTAGGCGAGGAGCTAGGCAGTTCACTGATGAAGCTAGAGCTCATGACGTCACCAACACCGTGACTGGGTGGCGCGCTAGGCTGTTCACTGATGAAGCTAGAACTCATGACGTCACCAACACGGTGACTGGGTGAGGAGGTAGGCAGTTCACTGACGAAGCTAGAAGTCATGACGTCACTCGAACTGAGCTGTGGAGTTTCCCTGGAGTCAGGTATCGGGACGCTGGAGTATTTAGCTTTGGTCAGTTCGTATAAGTGACTAGGTGTCAAATCTCTTTGGGAGCTGGGTTTTTCTGGGAGTGTACCGTAGAACGACATGCTCATAGGGTCGACTTCAGTTTTTTTGGATTCGTCATCGCAACGCGAGGATTCTCTGGAGAGGGCCATTTGTGATGTCATGCTTAGTTGATCTTCGTCTTCGTCGCTGTCTCTGTCCAACGGGATAGTATGACTTCCTGGAGAATCAGATTGAAAAAATTAATAATTAATATTAGAATTTCCATAACAGAAATATATTTTAAAAGAACGTTGGGCAGGTCGATTCTTAATTCTTGAAAGCTATTCTTCTACATACAAATTTTCAACCACCTTTCATCCTCCTGCCCTACAAATCAACTCCTTCAAGAGTTTCCTATTTCACAAGGGGTTCAAAAATACCGCGTCAGATGATGATAATAATAATAATAATAATAATAATAATAATGTTTTTTAGCCACTTCGGTGCAAAATGCATATGTAGTGAGTCATATTACAATTAAAATTGTAGTGAAAACATGAAAATATCAATTAAAAAACACTCAGTTATATCATAAAATATTTTGTCACATCCAGAATTCTTGATCTCTGTCGGCAATCTATTGTAAAGAGATAATGCATTATATGCAAGTGGGTTTCAATCTCAAGTCCCCACCATGTCGAGTGTGATAGGTGTGTGAAGAAGCATTATTTTAGAAAGATTCCAAGTTGCTCCTAACAAATTCCACACATTTCAGAATACATATGGATATGACAGTTAGCAGTTTTTTTCTTACAAATACAGTTTTGCAGCTTTCCCGATAGTCCATATGTTGAAAATCAGTGTTAAAATACGTTTCTGCCCCACGAAAACTTTGTTGAAATCTCTCAAACATCTCCATGCCATTATGTTGATAGAAATATCTGAGAATTTCATCGCAAAATGGATAATAAATAGACCCTCTTTGGCAATTCAAGTATTCTGTTTGCTTCATTGCAAGAAACGCTCAGTTTTTTGCAAAAACTGTTGATATGAAGATACCAATTCAACGTTTGATCTAAATAAACTTCACATCTTGCGACATGAATATTTCATCGAAGTGAGTTATTTCGCCGAGGATATTATCCTTTCTATTATGAAATTTCATTGATATGGACTCAGAATTACTCAAAATGAGTCGATTTCGTTCACACCAGGAAGTGACTGTATCGATGATTCTGTTGACGTTTACTAGTAAATAATCAATTTTAGGACCATGAAGCTACTGTAATTCTGATGCCATCAGTGAATAGGGTAATGTGGCAATCTATCACGTGTTCAGGCAAGTCGTTAGCAAATAATCCAAAAAGAAGTGGTCCTAGCACTTACCCTTGCGGAACAACTAAGAATTCCATATCTATATACACCGATTAATTTTTAATCATTCGGTTGAGCCATATCCGTATGGGATCCGAACAAAGATCAAACATTTATTGGAATTTTTGTCCCAGATATTTGTAATGGTGGATACTGTTCCATTGTATTACTTGAAGAGTAAATTCACCTATGTTCAAAATCAGATGTTTGTACTGAATGTCCGTCTACGCTTATGTACAATGCAACAGAACCCATCATTTCCAATAATGCGGACAAAACCTCCAATACATTAAGAAAAATTAATCGATGTATAGATTGAAAATTGAAAAATGAAATAAAACTCTTTAACAAGATGTAACTGGACTATTTGTATCATCAAAACAGTTTGATGTGGTTGATCTGTAGGGCAGGAGGTTGATAGGATAAAAAATTATACGCAAAAAAAAAAGATTTCCAAAAATGAAAATCAACCTGTCCAAGAGTGTATTTTTTTAAAAATTTTTTTATGAAGATACGGATTTTCTTACATCATTGGTTTCAATTCTTCAGATTTACGAAAATACCCGTGAATTGAATATCACAGTTGTTATTGCACTGAAATAGTTATTCACAATGATTCGAATCCGAATCAGATATACAGGGTGGTCCTTATATTATTGAATATATAATTGTTATGAGTTTTTGACTTCAAATCATCACGATTTGTCGATAAGATAAAAAGTATCAAAGTTGATACTTCGATATTCATTTTTGGCAAAAATTCCGACGTTTTTAGTGAGGATACATGAGAATTTTGAATGTTAGTTGGTTGTTAAGAGACTCATAATTTCAACTCTATGAGGTGGAACAACTTCAGATATGAAAGTTGCAGAGTTTCATCTGAACATCTGAACTTTTGGCACTCCTTGAGTGAACATTTGCAAATGGCAAAATGGCAAAAAAGAGTCCAAATTAGTTTTTTTATTTACAGTGTGTGCGATCTCAACCCACAACACCCTGTAATTTGGAACCCTTTGACCGATTTACAAAAACAATAATTTCATGATATAGTACCTACTCAACAAGCTTTCTTCGATAATGTGAACAAATTTGGAATATTCAGATTTTCAAGGCCTACTTTTGTTTGTTGAAGGGGTCCAAATTGTTCTTTTGGAAACTGTGACTACCCTATTCGATTCAGGCATATACCAGCATTACCTCTAACGAAATTCGCAAAAAAAATTATATATGGTGTTATATCATTTTGATATTTTCGATTTTTTGATTTTTCGATGGATGATGATGAAAAATTTCTCAACTTCCATTCCATTAATTTTTGGTTGACCTAGACTCTACAGAGATCATCCAGTAGAATATACAACGATGAAACTTCGTATCTGAGTATTCGATGTGTTGCTCCATTGAATGACTACTCCACGTGTAATATCAACTCTTCAGATTGTAATACAGGGTGAATCAAAAAATAAAAATTATCAAAATTTGCCATTGGATAATCAACACCCTATATAATATTCTGCGTTCAAATTAATATATTATATTCAAAAACAGCTCAATGACTATTTATTTTTGTGAACCGAAGGAAGATATATTTCGCTATCGCTGAAGATATACAGGGTGTTTCTTTGAAAAAAACTGATTTGGACTCTTATTTTCCATTTCTCGATTCGTATCTGTTTGCTCAATGGAGTGCTAGAAACTCTACAACTTTTATATTTGAAGTTCTTTCTTCACCTCGTATAGTTGAAGTTGTAGGTAGGGGCCAAAATATAAAAAGGCACCCTGTACCCGTCTCCGCTACTGTTTTGAGAGCTTGAAAGATCTTTGAAAATATTATCGTATTAGGCGGACGTCATGGATGATTCTGGAAGCTCAAATTTTTGTTTTCATATTTCATCACTCCTGTGGTATTTTGTTGTTGATATTCATTCATAATGATGAGAAGCTGCCAAAATTATTTCGGCCTACTACGTCGATATTTCCAAACTTCGACAACAAGTTCATTCAAAGTGTTCACAAAATATAAATTAGAAGTGAAAATGGGTACATATTGGAAATACAAAAAAATACACTTGTTTGAGGAATACTCTCAAGTTTTTGTATTGATGATTAGATTGATTTATTCTTGTTGGAATCACGTGACTCTTCATTCTCGATGAAGATAGCGCTAGATTGAAGAACAAATCAAGAAATCTTGAAGTCAAACATGTGTCGTACTTCTTTCTACGATTACTTTAGAACCACCTTGTTATGCAGATTTTGCAAACAAAAACCATATATGTACAGGGTCTATGTAACTCACTTATTCTAGATTATTCTCAATGAAAATAAAGCTAACTTGAAGAACACATTAAGAAATTTTGAAGTCAAAGATGTGTCCTACTTTTTTCTACGATAACTTTGGGACCACCCTGTTTAGTAGATTTTGCAAAAAAACAAGGTCTATGTAACTCACCAATTCTTGAATAATTGCAATGGAAAAAGCGCTAACTTGAAGAATGAATCAAAAAATTTTGAAGTCAAAGATGTGTCATACTCGTTCTACGATTACTTTTTACTACTTTGTTTAGTAGATTGTGCAAAAAAATCAAATATGTACAAGATAAATATAACTCACCTATTCTAGATAATTGTTCAGAGGTTATGTCTGTATTGGAACTGACAACTTCAGAGTCGTCACTAGCTGGAGTTGAGCTCCTCAAGCCAACTTCTTTTATCAAAGCATCCGTCCTGCTGGTAAACTTGACCTCTTCCAAGACAATGGGGCTCACAGGAACTGTAGGTGGCGTGATAGCACCAGGGATATGTTTTTCATGGTAAAGAAGATTATCTTCGGTATTTTGTTCATCCGAACCGGATTTTTTTGCTTCACTCGCACTTTCAATACTCTTGTTATCTGTCAATGATACATCAACTTCAGATACGGAAAGTTTCCTACATTCAGTTTCTGCTACTTTCAGTCCGTCCTTTTCTTCCATTTGGACATTTTTGCCATGTTCTACTTCTTTGGTGGACTTATCTTTCTCCATGGTCTCTTTTTCACCTTTTTCTGATTCATAGGATTTGATCATATCTTCTGCTGCTGGAATAGAGTGTTCATCGATGTTATGTTGTTGCTCGGAACCACTTTCGTCAGCTTTATCCGTTTGACACGTTTCAAATACGACCGACTTAGAGATTTCTTCGACTGTTTTGAATGTTTCATCAAGATCCTCAGCTGATTTTTCTAGTACTCTTTCCTTGTCTGCAATTTTTTCAGCGTCTGGTTTATCACATTTTTCAAGCGAAAACTGAGCTATATTTTCAACATCATTCTCCAATTTCTTGCTATTTTCTTTCGGAAACTTGTCTCCTATTTCTTCTGAGCTTTTACCTGATGATTCCTTGCTATTTAGAGTACTATCAACCTTTTGCAAAGCAATTTCAGTTATTGGTTCTGATTCTGCCACTTTTCCTTCGTCTGTAATATCTTTCGTACCGGATTTTTCACATTTTTCGAATGATAGTGATTTTGACAGTTGAGCTACGTTGTTGTATGTTTTACCAATATCTTTGGCACTATCCTTCAATCCATCTTCTAGCGTTTCTGACACTTCATGGTCACATTTTTCAAACGATAACGATTTTGACAGTTGAGTTACGTTTTCGAATGTTTCTCCGATATCTTTAGCACTATCTTTCAATTTTTGCTCAGATTCCTCTGATACTTCATCTTTTGCATCTTTTTCAATCGATTTTTCGGCAGTCAGAGTAGTCTGAACATTGTCTGAGATGATTTTGGAGAATGGCTCTGATTCTGACACTCTTTCTCTCTCTATCTTATCTCCCAAAACGGTTCTCTCGCATTTGTCAGATGATAGTGATTTAGACAGCTCAGATACGTTTTCGAAAGTTCCGTCAATATCTTTAGCACTATCTTTCAATTGTTCTTCAATCTCTCTTGACACTTTAGGCTGAGCCTTATGTTCAGCAATTCCTGAAACCTCATCTTCTGCATCTTTTTCCATTGATTTCAGGGTACTCGTAATGGTTTCGACACTTTCTGGGGCAATTTTAGAAATCGGCCCTGATTCTGACACTTTTTCTATCTCTTTTATTTCTCTCACATCTGTTTTCTCGCATTTATCAAATGATAGTGATTCAGACAGTTGAGATATATTTTCGTATGTCTCACAAATATCTTCAGCACTATCCGCCAATTTCTCTATTTCCTTTGACACTTCAAGTGGAACTTGTTTGGAAACTTTATCTTCTGAATCTTTTGCAGATGATCCTGGAGTACTCAGAGTAGTCTCAATGTTTTGAGATGCTGATTTAGATGATGGCTCCGATTCTCTGAATTTTTCATTGCCTGTATCTACTTTTTCACATTTGTCGAATGATAGAGATTGTGACAGTTGAGCTACGTTTTCATATGTTGCACCAATATCTTCAGCACTTTCTTGCAGTTTCTTGTCGAGCTTTTCTGACACTTCATGTTGAACCTTGTCGCTCAGTCCGCTGGAACTCTCTGAGCTATTATCTTTAAACTCTTCCTCTAATGATTTCATGTTATTTAAAGCAGTGTCAACACCATGTGAAAACTTTTCTGTTATTGATTCTGATCCTGCCACTACTTTATTGTCTGCCATTCCTTTTCCGTCTACTTTCTCACATTTATCAAATGATAGTGATCTTGACAGTTCAGCTACACTGTCGTATGTTCCGCCAATATCTTTGGCATTATCCTTCAACTGTTCCTCTATCTTGTTTGGCACTTCATGTTGAACCATGTCACTCACTTCTTTGGTTCTTCCAACAACTTTGTCTTCTAGATCTTTTGCCAATGATTTCACAGAACTCAGAGATGACTCAAGATTCTGCAAACCATTTTCAGTTACTAGCTGTGGTCCTATCATTTCTTTGGAATCTGGTTTTTCGCATTTCTCGAATGACAGCGATTTTGATAGTTGAGCTACGGTGTCATATGTCTCACCAAGATCCTTAGCACTGTCCCCTAATTTTCCTTCCTTTTCTTCTGCAGTGTCTCTGTGCACTTCATCAGTGTCTGCTCTTTTTTGTTCCCTTGAATCTTCAGCCAAACCATTATGATCTTCGTGCGTTTTTTGATCAGCAGCTTCCTTTTCACCAGGTTTTGCCTCGCATGTTCCGAATACTACTGATTTGCTTACATCAGTTATTGTTTTGGAAGCATCCTTCAAGTCTTGAACTGACTCTTCTAGTACACCTTCTTGCTTCAATACTTCCCCGTCTACATTCACAATTTCAGATGACAGCTTTTCATCTCTTTGTGATTCCCCTGGAGTCTTAGGAGCAACTTCTGACTCGCTGGATATTTTTCCATCAATTGAACATTGAACGTCATTGGACGAACGTTGTTGTACCAATTCTTCTACTGTATCTTTTATTTCTTCTCTTATTGCATCCGATATTGGTTTTGAATCCGATTTTTCATCATCACCAGAGTGAATTACTTTGCTTTCTTGGCTTGAAATTTTCACTTTCTCACATGGAGTTTCTACTTCAGCCAGCTTTGTATCTAAACCATTCGTAACAGGCGATTTGGAACTAGAAATATCTTCAGCTATTGGTAACTTGATTGAATCTACTTTTACATCATGAAGTTCACCTTTCACCTCCTCGATATCATGAGCATCTACTAGCTCATCTTTTTTCATGAAAAGTGACTCTACAGAATCTGAAATCGCCTTCATTCCACTCGTTATTCCTTCATGAAGTTTATGTGCTATAGAATCTTCCATACAATCTTGTTTTCTAGTCTCTTTTTCATCTTCTTCGTACTCAACTTGATCAGTAACCCATTTGTTGATCCCATCAGATCCCTTTTCGACAATTGGATGCTGTATATCACATTCAATGTTCAGGTCATCTCCACTATCCTTGGATTTATCATTCAGATGTTCTACTGTTTCTTTTGTCACTTTACCGGCTGCCTCATTATCAGCAATAACTTTTTCCAGACCATGTTCAACATTATCGATCAATTCTTTCGTAATTTCGGAAACTTTATCTTCTAAATCATTTCCCAAAAGTTCCATGACTTCATTAGTATTCTTAATATCCGATGAAACAGATGCAGCGGTCTGCTCTGATTTCTTCTCAGTATCATCTTCTGGTTTCTTGAATAAACTACTAATACCTCCAGCGATAGATTTGGCAACATCGTTCAAAGCGTCCAATGATTCTGTAGCAGCGTCAGAAATATCTTTGAACACGGTTCCTTCATGATCTAGTTTTTCGGTGGTTTCAGTAACGAACTTGTCTACATTCACATCATCTAATACATCTGCTGCAGTTTCGACAGCTGCAGCTGTCACATTCGTCAATTTGTCGATTGCAGAATCTGATATTTGATCAAGTGCTGTTTTGCTTTCTTCTATTTTTGCGTCTACCTTATCAACCAAATCTTTGGAAAATGTATCTTCTCTCTCTGACTTTGTTAACATCTCCATATGTTTATCAGCCTCTTTCATCATTTGGCTAGTTTTTTTATCGACTTCAACTACTTTATCAATAATGTCTGTATGTATATCCGTAACGGAATCAGTCGCAGACGTCTGCAAATCTTCAATATTTGTTTTCTTCTCTACTACAATGTCTTTGGCATGATCGACTACTTCTTGAGTGACTTTTTCAATCACATCAGAAGCACTAGTCACTAAACCTTTCAAGAAACTTCCAGCCTCATCAATTTTGCTTGTGTGATTAGTGACGTTTTTAGATGTATCAATGATAGATTTCATTGCAATCTCAAGCTCCGACTTTTGCATATTATCAGTATCTAATTTCTTATCTATCGTTTCGTTGTCTAAGTTTTCATCTGTCGTTGATTGTATTGATTCTTCAATAGTCTTTTCCGATCTAGTTTCTTCAGTTTTGTGGGCTATACCTATAGCAGAATCCCTTTCAGGATCGGCTACTGACTCCAATGTTTCTGCTACTTTGGTTATGGTCTGTTTGATCATCTCTTCTTCAACAGCTCCAATACATGATTTTGGATCTTTATCATCTGCGTCAGTATCAATCTTATCTTTGGATCCATGTAGCAAATCGTTTGTAATTGCTTCCGATTTGTCTACAGTCGCTAGGGTTTCATCTAAAACAGCTTTCTCAACTACCTTTGTGTCTTCTATTCGTGAATCACCCTCATGTGACTTCGAACTGACACTTTCCAAGGGTATTCTTCTATTCAGAAGTAAATCACTTTCATCAAAGTATCCGTTTTCTACATTGTTCCTTATTTGATACTCTTGCCTAGCATGTTCTAATAATTCTTGTTCTTTTGGAGGTGTTCCGAATCCGAAGGATTCTTCTTTGTCTGTCAACTTTGATACAGTCGCAGCAGTATCCATTTCTTCTGATGTCTGTTCCATTGCATCAGATCTATCACTGGAAATAGCAGAAACTTCACCGTGCTTTGAGATAATTTTGTCTTTTATCTCGTCTTTCGGATCATCCTTTTTCTCATCTAGTGCCATCTGCTCTCGTTCTTTTCTCGATTCGTGTCCCCCAAAAACTTGATTGGGAATAGTCTTGTCTTGATGAGAGGAACTCTTGTCTTGATGAGGAAAACTCTTTTCAACTGAAGAACTCAGTTCTTGGTGAGAAACCTTCGTCTGATGTGGAGAAGCATTTTGTTGATCAGAAGAAATCTTCTCTTGATGAGGATGACTCTCTTCTTGGTGCGATACAATTTCTGCTTGTCCATCGTGGTCTGAAGAAAATAGTTTATTGGTTTGAAGTGAATGGTGAAAAAAAGTCTTACCTGACGTCTTCCCCTCAGATTTCATTTCTTGGGCATGGATTCCTAAGGAAAAAATAATTCTCTTAGATGGGAGTGAGGAACGATTGATGAGATGACTATTTACCTGATGTTGGTCCTAGATGCCCCATCTGATCTTGAACAATATCAAGGTCCTTTTCAGTTGATGATTGAGTGGAATCAACATCATGGGGTGTAATACTCTTCTCTTCGATTAAAGAACGTTTCTTTCGAGGGCCGTGGTCTTCAGCAGCTGACGGAGATTGTTCTTCCTGCTTCTCTAGTTCTGCTTTACTATCATCGATATCTTAAAGGAGAATAGGTACTTGAAATCGATCACAACACAAGAAATTGTATCAAAAGTATGGAAGCATGATTCATTTATTCATTTATTCAGTAATTATTATACATCCAACAGGCTAATTGCCTAATAATAGGAGTATTTTATAAAAATGAGCTGAATGCTAATGATCATGATTATATAAAGACATAGATTAATTTGGAATGACACTGGAAATTTCTTTTTTGAATGCTTGTAATGACAGAAAAAATATGTCAACATTGAGACTACCAAGTGAACGGTAGTTCTTGTTATAGACGTAATTCTTGGGACATTGAAGTCTACTGCTGACAAAAGATTCGGAGAATCTATGCCATTGTTGATGATCTCGTATAGAAAAACAATATTTGCGATCTCTCTGTTTTTCTCAGCGAGAACATATCGAATTCTTCTAATGATAAATTATAATCATAGACCATATTTTTTGAGAAAAGCATAATTTATAAATTTCTTCTGGACAGCTTTCAATGCATCTACATATTTTGTATTGTTGAGGTTCCATATGACGCTACAATATTCCAGTTTGTTTCTAACCATTGAGTAGTAAATATTACGTGAAGCATTGAAATAATGAAATACCTTACAGTTTCTAATAAGAACCAAATCCAAAATTACGATAGGCCTGGATGATAACGGTGTTAATGTGATTCACAGAGTTGTGCTTTTCATCGAAAATAACGCCTAGATCTCTGCATTCAGGAACCCTTGATAATTGCTGATTTGATATACAATAATTGAAAACAAGAGAAACATTCTTACAGGAAAATGTCATTATCTTGCACTTGGTGTGATTGAGGAGTATTGTTTTCTATACACCAATCATTTACAGTCAGTGAATCTTTCTGTAATTGTTGACAATCTCTAAAATCATTTATCTTACAGTATAACTTCAAATCATCGGCATATAGTAGAGTTTTCGAGTTCAGAGAGTCACATATGTCATTGACAAATAAAAGAAACAACAGTGGTCCCAAGTTTGAACCTTGTGGAACCCCCAGATGTTGACTTCATATTCCACAAATGACTTTCTGTTAGTTAAAAACGATTTCAATAGTTGTTGCAATCTTGAGGATATACCAAATTTTTTTGATTGATGAAAGACTTACTTGAAATATGTTGTTCCTGTTGTTTCATGACAACATTGTCATGCCCTATCCATTCTCCATTTTCTGGGGACCCAGTAGTTTTAGTTTCCTGGTGAAAATGATCTTTTATTTCTTCTTTACCATCTCTGGATATGTCTGACGCCCCAGATTTGACTTCTTGCTCTATAAATGATTGAGATTCTCCAATATCCTCAGGGGTAGTACTTTTTCCTTGGACAGATGTAGTTTTCGCTTCTAATGCTTGCTTCGCATGATCAATTATTCCTGGAGAGGATATCACAAATAAACTATCATTTTCGAATTGTCAAACGAAAAAACTTACCTGCTTCTTTTTGTGATTGATCATCCAGAATCTGTCTCACGGTACTCAAAGAATCCGATACCGTGTCGATTATGGAGGACTTCTTGGTTTTTTGGGACGGATCAGGTGAACTTCTTCCAGAACTCTCAGAGCTCTTGGAGAATACAATGGACCCTGCTGGACAGATTTCGATTTCTTCTCCCCCATCTTCACTAGAGGCCGTAACTAACATTCGATGTACTGTGGCAACGTCATCTTCGTCGATTTTATCTTCTACATTTTCCCCATTATCCGATAACACTCCAGATTCTCTTTCTTTGGCTTCTTCTACTGGAGTTTGTTTGTCTGTTGTTGATTTGATATCTGAAAGCATCTTAGATGTAGCCATCATGAATTCCTGTGACTGCTTCAATAAATCGATTCTTTTAGCTTCCCTAGCTTCTTCAGAGTCTTGCAATGAAATTGCTCTCCTTTCTTCCTCAAGGAATGATGCTGATGCTATGTGTGGTTCTTCTGGAATTGTAGGGATATCCGTTTTGATCACCTTAGTCTCTATCAAAGGAGAATCTACAGTGGTTATATGTGTTTCACGTAGTTCGGTTGTATAGGGACTCGTATACGGGGTGAATGTGCTGATAGGCAGTTTGCCTTCGAATTCTTCTAGAGGAGCATCAGACTTCAGCACTTCAGCTACGCTGGCTACTATCTTGATGACATCTTCTTCTCGTTCTTTGGGAGATTTCCGACCCAAGTCGGTCTTATCGATTGAACCTGATCGTACGTCACGTTTCAGATCAGCAGCAGCGACTTCTTGATCTGTCAAATCTTCTAGTTGATTGAGTTCTTGTGAAACTTCCACCTGTGTGTTCTCAGTTGATTTCAATGAGTCCTTACTAATTATATCCACATCTCTTTTCGGTTCTTTCGTGGATGTTGTATCAGTAGAAGCCATTCCATCAAGATTTTTGTGAATAAAAATATCATCACTATCTTCTTTGAGAGATTCTCTCTTCTTATCGCCTTCTTTGTTATCCTGTATTATTTGCACATTCTTCTCTATATCTACTGATTCTTTTGTTATTCTCAAATCATGTACATCTGCTTCCACCCCCTTTTGCAACTCCCCAATCATCCTCGTCGATTTTTCTTCCGGATAAATATTTTCATTTATTTTATCCACACCATCGAGTTCATGTGTTACTGGTTGTTTCTCAATACTTGATTCTATTTTTTCTGTTATTTTTTTCTCATTTACACTCTCAATAAGGCTTTCCTTATTTTCAGTGATAACCTTCTTATCTTCAACACTATCACCTTTGACATCTTCATGACTAGACTCCTTCAATTGTTTTGAAGGCTCCGTTTGTATTTTCTCTTCTCCTACTTTATCAACTTCTTTCTGTTTCTCATGTGATTCACGATCTACAACAACACCTTCAAGCGCAGTTTTTTGTGTATCCTTCTCAAGTTCAACTTCAATTCTTCCAGCAATATCTTCTACAGGCATTGCATGTTTGGTTACATCTGTAATATGTGTTTCAGGGTCTTTGTCTTTTACATCAGATTCCGATTCAACCTCCTTGGACACCTTTTCTTCAGCAATATTCTGCTTATCTTCTTCTACTGCCTCCTGTTGAACTTTTTTATGCTTCATGATTTCTTCGATCATCTCGGGTTCCGATTTTTCCTCTTCTTCTACTGAGACTTCAGACTTCGCTTCGCTCATAGGTTTTTCAGTACCGTCTTCATCTACAACTTTTTTATGGTCCTCATCTTTGACTTCGGGTGACACCTTTTCTGACTCTTTCAAAATATCCTTTTCAAGTACAGTTTCATTTTCGAGGACAGTATCGGTCAGACTCTTGAGTTCTTTTTGGACGACAGAAGGTTCTTTAGCTTCATCCTTGTCTTTTTCCTGCTCTTCTTCCTTTTGCTGCTCCTTGTTGGGTTGATGTTGTTCTAGCTTCGTTTCCACAACTTCATTGGACTTGGTAGGCTCAATTTTGAGTTCGTGAGTATACTCATAGTCGACTTCCTCATGCACAGGAAGATCTGCTACTTCATCTGGAGTTTTCACAATGTCTCTGATGTGCTGCTGCTTATCTAATCTGATGCCTACTACGATTGGGATTTTTGGCACACTCTCGAATGTTTTTTGGGGTAGTTGTATCACGGGCAGCCCCTTTTCTTTGGTTTCTTCCTTGACATGTTTCTCCTCGATTATGTGTCCATTATCTTCTTTGATTTCATCCAAGGCGTTGATTTCATCCAGGGGTATGCGTTCGTCTTCTGGGAGAGTTGGAGCTGTAGTAGTGTCGCCTGATTTTATGTTGGCAGAGATTTTCTCATCCGGATGAGACTCTACCACGTCCTTGTTTTCTTCTTCGATATCTTTATCAGTGGTTTTTTTATCAGAGGAAATGTCCTGTTTATCTTCAGGGCTGAGTATATCTTTAGTTCTGAGTGTAGCTTCTGGATGGTCTGTTATACCGTTAGCTTGAATCTGTTCGGAACTGAGTTTTCTTTGTTTTTCTGATTCCTCACTATCTCTGGCTAACTTTTGAGTTTCATCTTCTTTGGTTTCTTGTCCGAGGGAATCTTGTTCGATCACTTCTTTTTCTATAATGATGTATTCTTCCTTTTCAATGGAAGTATCTTGAACTTCTCGTAGGTCGTGAGCTTGTTTAGGTTTGGTTTCACCTTTTCTGAATACAGCTTCTATTTCTTTCACAGCTTCTTGTTCCTCTTTCAGATCTGCTAGTTCCTGTGCTTTCAGTTTTTGGATGTCTTCCTGTGAGAGTTTGGATATGTCTTTTTTCAGGACACTTTCCTGATCTACTGATGGAGTACTAACAGTACTCGAGTCTGTAGTACCTTCCTTGTCCAGCTTACCTTTTCTAGAGATACTATCAGGTTTTTGGATACCATTCACTATCTTTTTGGCTGGACTTATTGGGGCTTTTTTGGCAGTAGGTTTTCTTGCTATCGGTTTTTTTTCTACTTTAGGTTTTGGAGGGGCAGGTTTAGTACTAGCTTCGCGCTTGACTTTGCTTTCTACGACTTTTCTGTTGTTGGCATCTTTCATACTTTTTGCTGGAGTACTTAGAGGGGACGGTTTGGCAGGTTTCTTCGCTTCTACGGTATCTGTTTTCTTTGGTGTTGTTGGAGAGGCCTTTTTCTCTGGGGGTTTCTTTCTTTGTTGTGATTCACCTCTCACCTTTAAAAAGATCGATATGAAGATGGAAATAGTTGGATACAAATTGAAATGCAGTTGGCTGATTATCTTCGATTGCTTTTTGGAAACAAGAAGTAACGGGGTAATATACAGGATATTTCCAGAAATCACAAGAGATAGTATATTGTTTAACAAGCAGTGATTTCTCACGAGAATGAAAATCATGCGAGTGTGAAATGCGCATTTCGTGTGAGTTATACACTATACTTTTTCCACAGCTCTAACAAATTATTCCGTCGGCTTGTAGACATCTGATTTTTTCTTGAGTATTGTTTTATCAGACAGAGCTGTTGAGCGGTCATTGCTTGAAATTTAGTATTTCATGGGAGACGACACTTATTGTTAACAAGAACACAATGCTTTCTCGTATCAGATATGAAAGTGAGATTGAAGACATATAATGTACCTCATTAACTTATCGAAAACGGTAAGACACGAGCAACTCCGCGTTAAAGCCGTAGAAAAAATTTTCGTTCCGGTTCATTTTTTGAAATATTGGCCGCTCTCAACATATTATCACATTTTCAAATCATTATTGAACATTCGACGAATTATTATCGATTCTTCTGGTACTCTTGGCCTCACCGAAAGCATATGCTTGGGTCCGGCAATCAACGATAGGTCGATGATTAACAAAAGTTTTGAACCTCATCATCTTGCAACAAAATTTTTTTTAACAAAATGTAGAATTTCATTATGTTTCGATTTTTATTTGTATCAAGTGTTCTCTCGATAACTTTTTGAATATGCCGAGCTTCTTACTCTTGACAATCAGAAAAATAATGATCACTTAAAGGTCATATCACTGATCTGAGGACAGACTCTGTAAACAGAGTGAATAATAATATTTGACTATAAACAGGGTGTTCCTTAGGAGTGAAACTTCGTGTGAGCTCAAAGAGTGAAATGTCCTTCTCTCCATTAGGTACATTAAATTAAGCAACATATACAAAGTCATGAGGAACTGTACTTACTCCAACCATGAATTGAAGCCCTTGTGGGAAATACCACCAGGAAGTGTCTTCTTCTCTTATTTACCAATATACAGGGTGAAATGTGAGATTTGTCAAAAACATATTTTGGTCATAACTTCAAAACACCACCTTCGATTTTTTCATGTAATATTCCTCTAATAAACCCTAGTCGACTGACCTATTCAGAATTGGAAAAGTCCAGAGCCGTTTTTGAAAAATTGCGATAGTTCAGTTCTTATCAAAAAGTTCATCCTGTAAATGATTTTGGTAATTTGTGATATGGTACTTTCAGAGCCCACGAACAAGCATCAAAAAGTGAATATTCAAAATTCTTCCTGAACTTTCACAAAATCTTTAAAAAAATGATGAATTATAAACAAAAACGAAAGTTTTACAACAAATTTTATTCATTCGGAAATAATTACTTCGCAACGCATACACAAATAAAGGTAAGACTCACATTATCAATGCTTCTGCCCAATGAAAATCAACAGATTCTTTCATTTTCAGGCCTGGATTTCGTAATTTCAATATACCTCATCAACTGAAAAAAGATTTATAGAGTGATTATTATTCTCCACAAAAAATTGAATTATTAAATCCAGGCCTGAAAATAAAATAATATGTTGATTTTCATTGAGCTGAAGCATTGAAAATGTAAGTCCCACTTTTATTCCTGAAATTTATGGGTTGCGAAGTATTAATTTCCAAATAAATGAATTTTTTGCCAAATTCTCGTTTTTCCATTATATTTATAGTTTTTTCAAACTGCAGTGAAAGTGTGAGAAAAATTTGAAATATTTTATTTTTGATGTTTGTTTGTGACCCTTCAAAAATTTCCTGTCACAGTTTACAAACATGAACTTTTTGCACTAAACTAATAGTTATTTGTTCAACTAGGCAGAAAAGTAGTAGATTGACTGCCGAGGCTGAATTCATAGGAATCAGCCTCGGCAGTCAATCTACTTTGCTGCCGAGTTGAACATATAATTTTTTCTCCGATTGTTCATAATGATATAGGAGGATATATTGTATTTGCAAATTATTACAATTCCCACAATCTCTTCATTTTTTCTGTAGTGTTCAATTAAAATAAAATTTGATAGAAATCGCAGTTGTTGGAATGGTTGGTTGCTATGGAAATGTCCATAATAATTATAGTTTGACAATTCATGAAATTTCTGACAGTTGTGCGAAAAAATATCGGTACATTTAAATTATTATATAATGGACAGTGATAGCAACCTGAAAGTACTTACTCATCCAGAAATAAGGGAGGTGGCAAAAAATATAGAGTTGAATTTGTTGCCGGAGAAGTCTCGAATGATATATGAAGGAAATTATGAACGATTTATGGATTATTAATTTTGCTGACACATATCAATCAGCAAAGTATCCACTTTGCTGCCTAGGCAGGAAAAGTAATACTTTGCTGATTGATATCTGTCAGCAAAATTAATATTTGCTGCCAATCGGAGAAAAACTATCATAATTTTCCAAGAACGGTCCTAGACTTTTCCGAATCTGAATAAGTCAGTCGATTAGAGAGTATAGTAGCGGAATATTCCATGAAAACATCAGACGAATCGAAGAAGCTGTTGGAAAGTTATATGACCAGAAGATGTTTATGCCAAATCCCATAATTTGTCCTATGTATTGGAGAAAGAGTGTATGGAAGACACTTTCTGTTGGACGTTCGGTATTCTCCTCAGGAGCTTCTATTCGTGGTAGGAGTATCTACAGATCCTCATGACTCACCCTGTGTACTAACCGTTTATTATCATTTTGCGGTGGTAAGTTATTCAATGAATATTATTGATCATGGAATCTTACAAAGAGGAATATTTCTTTTTAGACGTGGTAGAAGCCAAGAAGATTAATCATCGAATGTGTCAGGTAGGATTTTTACCAATAATAACGCCTATCTGGCAATGTTTCAACATATGAGCCTCCTTTTTCAAATCTTGTATATTTATTCCCTCAACACGTTGACTGCCATATGTCGGTCTATGGGACCGAGAAAAACATGACAAGCCGCCTCGGTCTGGAGTTGATACACCAGGGCGACTCGGCCTATGGGAACGATTTAATTGAACTACTCATGAAGCCGTCGGTCCGAATTATTATCATCTGTATAATATTACGATGTTCTGAATATTCTACACAGGATTATTGGTACTCCGATAAGTTCCTTTGAAGATGTGACAGGGGAGGTGGTGAAGAGTGAATTTAAACCCTAATATGCATATTATGCAAAACTTAATTATTTTTGAGGAAATTGAATTTTTTCGTTTTTCTCCAAAGCGTACAACTCTATCGAAAGTTAGTTTCCCGGAAACCTGCTCTTCATTATTTCAACCTCCCAACTAGAATACATGATCAACACGGTCTTATATTTGGAATAGAAAAATTCCAGGAATAATTTAGATTATTAATGAGTTGTTAATACAAAGTCGTATTATCGTTTGTGATTTGTGGAATCCACCTACATCCTAGCGGTTATTTCTCTCCAAATCTCTAAGCCACATCTGTTGGAATTTTTTTGAAATAGCCTAACTGGGTAGAAATGAAACCAGAAGTGCTCGATACGGATTTGTTATTTTATAGGAATAGTAAAAAACATACTGAAAAAAAGGCTATCAGTATTTATTTTTGGCGATACAGCAGTTCTTTATTCCCGTTTATTTGCTCAAGGCATCCAAATAGCATAACAAATGTTCATAACCTCCATCATTGGGCAAAACAAAACTCCCGTTAAACAAGAGAAACTAGTTTCCAACGGAAGTTTTCTGTTAATGTGGGGATGGCACTCATTGAAAGTTATTCAATATTTCATTTGAGATAATTCAAATAGGGAAATGTATGAACAGTTTCTACGCCATCATCTACACGAGCTTTTCGAGGATGTTTCTCTCGATGATATTCCAGCAGGCGACTGTTGTTCAGCGCATTATCGGCTGATCTTTCGGCAGTTCCTGTATGAGCAACGGCAAACATTCGAGTTAACAATGAAAGACAAAATTATGAGAAGATATTGAGAACAAAGTGGTATTTTGTAAGACTATTTCACGTTGACGAAGCATAAAAAGCATTTATTATCAATGAGTGATTTGTTCTGACAAGTAGAGCCATAATTATTTTGAGCCAAACTGACAAACTTTGCTTCGCTATTCATGGGTACATCCAGACTTTGATTTGCTATCCATGATTACATCGTTGAAAACATGAACGCTGTCAGACCAATCAGAATTGAAAGACAGCTAATATTTTCGCGATAAGCACACGTTGTCTCCGGCTTGTTATTTGTCACAGTTCTTTGAAACACCCTGTATAAAGGAAATTATTCTCCCGGTACACGCCCTATTATACGATTGAAGTGTGCAAATTATCAGAATCCCTACCCAACTGATAACTGAGCTATTGAAGACGAGAGGTGAGATGCAGGACCCTGTATAGTTTAGGGCCAAGGAAAAAAAAAACGAATCTTTCTGAAACTTGGTAAATTTGAAGAATTATTTCCTATGAATGGGGTGAGGTACTGTTTGGGAGGTTTACCAATAGGCTTTGTCTCACGATGAGGGTATAACAGACAATGAATGAGTTTCTCATAAATACTCGAAAACGGTTCATTTTTCGTGAGAATACATGAATTAGAATCAGAATCATGAGATAAATTTGAGAATGTTCTGAAAAATAGGATGAAAATCACGAAGGTGACGACACTACTGAAAAAACCGGAAGCTTAATCTCACCTTTGGCTTGATCTTCGGCTTCAGCTTATCACCATTCTCGATGATTTTATTTTCCTCCTTTTTAGCCTTGATGCTACGATCACTCTCCGTCGAATCCGATTTCTTAACGGCCTTATTCTTAACATCCCCATGATTCCCATTAATGATATTATTCTCGATGGTCTTGATCTCTTTCACCTGCATCTTTTCTTTAGGAGCCACCTTCTCGATTATGACGTCTTTGGCGTTTTTTTTGTGGAGCGAAACAGGTTGCAGAGATCTGCTGCTACAAGTAGCGTGTTTGATACAATCCAAGCTCCGCAGCTTATCCAGCCCTTCGAAAACTTTGCTCTGGGGGCTACTTCCCGGAAACAGGATCCTGGTGATGGTATCATCAGGATTGGCAGGTTGCCAGATCAGCAAAGCGGCAATGGAAACCAGATTTTGGGTAGGAAAGCACAATTCTTTGCTGGATTTAGCAAAGAGTTTCTGGTCGCTCTGGTTCCATTTCTGCAGAAACTCTCTGACTTCTTTGGCGTCTTTGCTGGGGCTGAGGACGTACATATCTAAGGTTCCGTGGCCTACTTTGTGGTATAGGTTAATCGGGTCGGTGTCTCTATAGCAAACTTGAGGATTCAGGTTCAAGTAGCGGAGGTTCGATATGATTTCATGACCTTCTTCCAGTAGGTTGATGAGTAGGGGATCTTTGTCTTTGTCACCATCCGGGCTTGGTAGAGTTCGTCTTTCCTAGGAGAATGAAGTAGATCGTGAGATTTCAGTAAGAATTTGGATATTGCTATAAGAGAAACACGGAGAAGGTGCCCAAAAACCTCATGCAATGACAGATTCAATTCAATAGATTTCCTGGTGGGAGCCAAGAGCTTGGAGTATGTAATAGTTTGAATACCTTTCTTGTTTTGAAATTTGAATGATTCGATTCCTTATGAAGAATGAAGAATGTGGTGTGAAATATCAATGAAAAATCCTGAATTAATGAGTTCTCCAAAGATGGTTTTGTCATTATATTCACAAAAAATGAAGATAACCTCAACTAGACCTTGACTCTTTGACATGTGTGTCAATCTTCAGAAGTAAACCAACAGTATACCAAGATGTCATTATACAGGGTGTTTCAGTTTTTTGTAGCAGGACTTTAACAGCTTGAAGAAGACATTTTTTTAAGATGAAAATCTCATGCAAACATATATGCGTGGAAGCTTCGTTTCCAATTTACAGGGTGTCAAAGTTTTCAGATTTTTTTTATGTTTTTTGAATTTTCTCCTACAATTTTCGGAATAATTGATTAAAATTTGGTACACCTGATACACTTCAAAAACTTAATATTTGAGGCTATTGAGCGTTTTTGAATACCTACAGGGTGACAGACTTTCAGGGGTCGTACCCAATTTAACCCTGTAGAACTTTTTTGCGTGCCGTCTCTGCTTTCAATGGGACATATATTCAGATTGTCCTTTCAATTTGGAAACTTTTTGCCCCTATGTGAATTTTTTGAAAACTGTATGGATCCCGAGATAAATGCCAAAAATAAATTACTTGTAATAAAACCGTTATTTCTCGAACACACTTATTTGACATTTCTCAAACATTTTATTGGAAAATAGAATGACCGAAAGCTTCCATACCAAATGAAATTCAGTTGCAAAATAAGATTGAATTTTTTCAACACCATTATAATTGAAACTAGGAAAAACAAAGAAAAAATGTTTTTATTTTGAAAAAACTTCTCTAACTGGATTGCAAAATCTGAAATTGTATTGTAGAAAATTCTAGGACACCCTGTATAACTGAAACTGGTTAAACTTTCGATATCAGGGACTGTATGACACACGGTCTAGGCGCTATACATCGCTAGACTGTCGCTTCTGACGGTTGAGGTGTTGTGAGTTTTAATAATTCAATCTCGTGAACGGCAGTTCTAATTTTATCAGTACCCTTAGAAGTGGTTCGGATTCCACTTTTATTTATCTCGAAATCCATACAGTTTTCGAAAAACATACATGGAAGCAAAAAATTTCCAAATTGCAGAGACAATCTGAAAATATGTCCCATTGAAAGCAGAGGCGGCACGCAAAAAAGTTCTTCAGTGTTAAATTGGGTACGACCCCTGAAAGTCTATCACCCTGTAGGTATTCAAACACGCTCAATAGCCTCAAATATTGAGTTTTTGAAGTGTATTAGGTGTACCAAATTTCAATCAATTATTCCGAAAATTGTAGGAGAAAATCCAAAAAACATAAAAAAAATCTGAAACTTTGACACCCTGTAAATCGGAAGCGAAGCTCCCACGCTTATATGTTTTTCGAGATTTTCATCGTGAAAAAATGTCTTCTTCAAGCTGTTAAAGTCCTGCTACAAAAAACTGAAACACCCTGTATAGTAAACCTTGTTCGCTTGGATGAGTTCGAGGAAAAATGGGTGAAGTACCCTGATATAATACAAAGTATTTTCTTCATTAGGGCGTGGGTCACTTACAAACATCATATGGGAATGAAGATCATTGTGAATGTACTTCTAAAAATTTGTTTCCAGAACCAATAACAATAAAAATGAGCTTCTCGCTGAGAGTGAATTTTTTTTTGTAGATCCAATTCATGATTGCCCAAATACACTCATCGAAGAAGAAAAAAACAACCAGAGCAAAATTATGCCGAATTGATCGAATTGATCGCCCTGTAACATCTTCAACTATAGTCCGATTCTAGTAGATTTTCAACCAGATCGTAAATTGACGTTTTCAAATGTTAGCCTGAATGTTAGTGTCCAAAGCTGATGAACTTGTTGAACTCAGCATTGTCATGGTTCAAATTTTAGATTTATGTGTGATCGTTTTTCAACACACTGGTTTCTGATTCACGTCGATATCATCTTCTCAAGAAAAAATAGAATAAGTGTTGAAGGGAGCATGGAAGTTTCAAATTTTTATCAACAATAATTATTCAGCACCTATTGAGCATGTTTAGAGTAAACTCCAAAGACGATTCGTTTTCGTCTGGCCTTGCCTTGCCCTCATTCAAGAACAATTTGAGGTAATTCCTCAAGACTGATTGAGATATTTGATCAACTCGTTACCACAGCGGTGAATACTCCAGGAAAGCTTAATAATATATGAAAATGTGCATGTCTATATAAATCACTCTCTTTTCGTTTGACAATGCAGTGTTGCCGCTTCTACTAGAAAGTAGGATCAACTTTGTTAATTTGAAGGAACATTGCAATTTCAAATTATACACGACACATCACACTTGAGGTCTAGCGGCAATAATTACAGAGATATAGGGTGTTCAAAATCAAGATTATTCCATATTTCGGTTCATTTATGATCAAACTAGCTCACATCTACCTATTTCAACTTTCGATTAACTAGCTACTGACATTCAATTGAAACAAATACAGGGTGGTTCAAGATTCAAATTCTGATCACCTGTATATATGTTTCAATCAAATGTCAGTAGATAGTAAGTCGAAAGTTGAGATGGAACATGGAAGTCGTTTTGACCGATAATGGATATTTTCGACAGAAGATATCCTGAAGTGGAAAAATCTCGATTTTGAACACCCTATATCTCTGTAATCATGCCCGCTAGACCTCAAGTTTGGTATATTGATGAGATAAGCCCTTCAAGAAGATTCTGAAAATGCAATGAAATACTGGGTATTCCACTTGAAGTGACAAAGTTGTTGCTACTTTCTAGTGAAAGCGGCAACACTTCATGACCGAAAATTTTTCAACAAAGAGAGCGTTATTTCGAATATAAGCATGAATATTAGTGTGGGCTTGTCGTGACATAGTTACCCTGTGAACTCGTTATACAGGGTGATTCAAAATTCGATGTGAATATTCGAAGGGATGAGTCTTTTTCTTCATATTATTATCATGAACATGTGTCCTTAAATGCACTTCCTACGAGTTAATAAAAATCGATCTCACCCCAAAACTGGATTAACATGATTTTTAGAGCAAGAAGGAGATGGATAAGTGTCAAAAAAGACTGGGGTATGCTCATTCTCAGATGATATGATTTATTATTTCAGTCACAATTTTAGAAATATTTTCTTTTTCACCTTACTTACAGTTGCTGTATCTTGAAGGGCGGTTGATTTGATCCCAACAATATGTCCTCAAAATATTCACATCGAATTTCAAATAACCCTGTATATGGACTACATCCTAGCCGAGGAGTTCTAATCTTTGGTGGTGGTGGTTAGTGCTGAGTTGATGGGGTGAGAATAAATCAATATTAGTTTTTGAAAGTTTCTCATGATGATATCTCTACTCAAAAAGCAGATATTGACGTAAATCATAATCCAGTGTATTGAGGAAAGATCACATATCTTATTTCTTCCTGTATAATGATCAAGCCATCAGCATTTCTTTCTCATCAGAAATTTTGATTCAGGCAGATATTCCGAAACAATAACGTACGCTTTGGTCGAAATTTCACAAAAACTCGAACATAGTCTACTGCATAGCGAATAATCAGCTGATTACCTGAATATTACAAAAGAAATGTCCTATTTGTGGGTAGACCACGTCTTGCTTCTTCCTCCTCAGTATTGAACTAATTCCACCTACATTACTATTATTCAGTCTTGTCAACAGCACAGCATCTAATCTATCTAAATGTCTCACGAAATCCCAAAAGCAGGCCTTTCGTGAAAACCCTCCGTCCAGGAGCATATTGAAGCCATTTATTCCAAACAGGGCAGCATCTCCTGAAATTTGAAAACATTAATAACTCTATACCATCATCGTGTATCTGTTGGTCTTTTCATAATGGTGAAGTTTTGTGTAGGTTGAAGTATTATATTATTATTCTTGTTCTTCGCTTCAAATTGGAGTTTTATAGGTAAGCTGTAAGTCTACAGGGTGTGAATAGATCATGATATACCTCTCTTGTTCTACATTTGAAGGATGATTGTTTGAAAAAACACAAATGTACTGAAAAAAAAGATATGTTCAACAAAGACGTGCGACGTATGTTTCTCACTGAAGCTGAGCCATTTTTTAAAAGAAGCAGAATATCCATCACCAAGAACCAAATTGAGTCAAACCTTCAATCTCCTACAATAAGCATAATGCTTGACGCTTCGCCCATTTCTTATTGGCTTTTGTTTTTCACAAAAATGGCCATTTGAAGATGAAAGCCCTTTGAGTGATGATAGTTGGGTCTTTTGGCTGTTAAGTCGGTTCAAAAATTCAAGTATTCCGTTACTGGACTGATTTACGACCAAATGAACACTGCCCTTAAATTTTATTTTTATTCTGTGATGTGATTTCCACATGGCCTTATAGGTATGTTTGTTCCTCAACAACTTATTGTTGATCGAATTTCTTCACAGGTACTGTGTACCGATGTGTCTGAAGATGGTTGTTTCAGCCGAAACTAGTCACAATACATTTCATGATGTTATATAATTTTTGTGGTCGACAGACTTGGTATTACTTTGTTTCTTCTTTGAAGAAATTATTTAGTGAACGGTAGATATTTCTGTTGAAGATTATTATAGAACATTGTACATGAAATAGGTACGTCAAGAATTTTATGAAGAATTCAGGAATTGAATGAAATACAAGGTATTGCATATGGAATAAGGAAGTTGGAGTTGATAGTAAAATCAGCTTGACCTCCTGGAAAAACATACAAAGTGGGCCTGGAGAACCTGATATTCCCCACCATATCAGAAGTGTCAAGGACACCTTCTAGCGCAGCGCTGGGTCTTGGAAACCTTGCCAGATAACCTACGAAGGCTCTGATGTCCGCCGAGCCTGAGCCTATAGCACGTCTGCGGGGTTGACGCAAGCCTTGCAGGTCTTGACGTGAAAATATATGTAGGGTTTCATTACGAGATCTTGACCTAGGTCTATTTTCGATATAACCTGAAGTGACATACACTTGATTTTTTTTTTATGAAGGATAAGCTCTTTGAGAAGATATATATCTCCTCCAAATGTCAAGAGTCTAACATAGAAAGCAACTGAATTACGCCTTGGTGTACTGAATATTCATTTGATGGTGACTAAGATTCTTAATCCAAAATTGTTGAATTAAAAAAGTGCGGAAACAGTCTATGGAGACAGATGGCGATAGAAGTGAATACTATAAGTAACTCGAGAATTGTATCATCGAGCTATCAATTTATTTTTATCGTAGTTTTTTCGAATCATGAAGAATATAATGTCATATTGTATTATTACAGAAATAATTAAATTTTTTCATTATCCATTTGAAAATGTATATGGAAAGCCAACAGGAGAATATAACAGTCTGTATAAAAACACGTGCTTGTTCTTCATAAACAATGTACTGCTTGGAAATTCTAGCTTGACCTCTGAAAATTGGATGCGCAGTAGACCAGTTGGAGGAATAGGGAGAAAGCTCATTATTGTCGAGAAGCTAGTGGTTAGTACATTGAATTGTAGATATAACTGGAGAAGATGATAATAGGACATTGTGCATGAAATAAATACGTCTAGAATTGTATGAAGAATCCAGAAAATGAATATACAGTTCTCAACACACTGAATGGACCACTTATAATTTGAATCTATTTCGAAGACCTGTATGTTTTAAAAGAATTGACCGATCTTCATGCGGTTTTCGATATCAGTCAGTCATATTATGATACACTGGGACCTCATCTCAGGACGTTTTCATGATTTCTCTTTAATTGGCCATTGAAACAAAGATTAATTTTTTTTTAAATTATTGCATTTCTTGAATGTTTTCTGTAGAACTCCACTTGAGCTGACTATTGGGAAGAACTGTTCTAATGTTTTGTGGAGGACAATGAAAGACGAAATAAGCACTATTGTGGAATATACAGGATGATAAAAAAAGGACAAAATCTCATTTCAGCAAAAAAATTAGGAATGGTGACTAAGACCATTGCCCATTCGATTCAGTATATTCAGAAACGGCTTTCTTGATATCCATTATTCATATTAGACTATCAACTCGAAAAGTTTTCAAAAATTCGCCTCAAATTGGAATACAGGATGAAACACTCCAAAACAATCTCCCATTTCGGGTGAGATGGCAGTGAGTGTTTCTTTATTCCTTGCCAGGTGGCGTTCCTGAACCGCTTAAGCGCAACTCGGCGTTTAGGAAGGAAACACTTGCGATTTCATACGTCTATATGAATTATTGCATAAATTTTGGTAGGATGTAATCAAATTTTCTGCGTGGCATATAGTTCGGTGAGTAGTTGTTTTTCTTTCGTTACCTACCATTTTCGTTCATTTCATGAACTATTGTCGTAATGACATTAGGCTTTCCCGTTTGTATTAGATTATCGGTATTGAAATATTTTCGATTTATGAAGAAGTGTATTTTCACCTTATAATATCGTAATATTACAGTAATGACTGTTTCATTATTCATTCGAATTTTTTTTTAAGAAGTCGAAGTGGTAGATGAGCTACAAGAGCACGATACTATTTCGACCACTTTTCCATTGTTAATCTCCATAAGAAAAGGTAAGGTGCATTCTGGTCATTTTTAATGCTTTCAAGGTTATCTGGCTCCCACGAGCAAGCTATCAGCAGGCTGCTGATAAGAATAGCGATAACACAGCTACAATAACAAGATGGAATATACAGGGTGGATCGAAAAACCTCGATGAATGAAAATATACAGAGTCTCTCATGATTAACTTATCCCATCTAGTAGATTACCTTGACCGCCTGGAAAAACATACAACGTCGGCCTGGAGAACCTGATATTTCCCACCACGTCCGAACTAGCCAGCAAACCTTCCAGCGCAGCGGGCCTCAGAAACCTCGCCAGATAATCGACGAAGGCTCGGATGTCCGCCGAGCCTGAGCCTAGCACGTCGGCGGGGTTGATGCGAGCCTTGCAGGCCTTGGCATAGGGCTCCTTGGGCATCCTGGGCCACTCGCCTTCCGGCGAGCAGTGTATGTCCAGCGAGATGCCCATGTCGTACGCGTGGATGACTCGCTGGACGTCCATCTCTTGGAAGGCCTCGGAGAAGTCCGCATACGAGAATGTGCCATCCTGCGGAGGAAAATCTGTTATTTCGGTTCGTTTTCTGGATTTTTGGGATTTTCTCTTCTAGTTATAACTGAAATCAGTGAACATTTCTTGAATTTATCTTCAAACAAATAGGAGTTTACTTTTTGTTCACGTTGCTCAAATAGCAACAGGAGATTATCGCGAAATTTCACATCAAACAGTTTCGATCAATTCAAAGCATGTATTTTGTATCGTTACCAAAGCAACTAAACAAATTCCTTGAAAATTGTTTTCTCCTTCTTGAGGGACGGAGCATGAAATTATACTGTAAATTTTTTGACGTTTATAGGTTAAATGACATTTACATTCAACTTCAGATTATTTCGAGTTCATTCTATAAGTCAATAAATAAAAATCATGTATCAATAGCTTACCATACAATATCATGTAGGTATACTTGCAATATAATATTTCAGTATGAAATTTTCTTATCGAATACCACTTTAGCTTCAATTAATATGCGGTAATTCTTTCTCGAACACGAATATTTAGAAAATTCTTTCAGAAAATAATTGAAGCTCTCGTAATATTATAAGTGAAAACTTTACACCAAACATTTTCGATCAATTTAAAGAATGTATTTCGTATCGTTACCATAGCAACGAAACAAATTTCTTGGAAATTTCTTCCTTCTCCTTGGGGGACGGAGTATGAAATTACAATGGAAATTTTTTGACGTTTATAAATGATATTTACATTCAACTTCAGATTATTTCGAGTTCATTCTATACGTATAAATAAAAATCATTTATCAACAGTTTACCATATAATATTATGTATAGGTATACTCGTAATATAATATTTCAGTGGGAAATTTCCTTAGCGAATACCACTTTAGCTTCGATTAATATCCGGGAATTTTTTCCCGAACACAAATATTCAGAAATAATTGAAGCTCTCGTGATATTATCAGTGAAAATTTCGTATGGAAAGTCACTATCGCAGCTGTTCTCGATAGATTATTGCGATAATTGTAACCAAACTGTCAAAAGTCGAAATGTCAACTAATTTTATGTCAAATATCTGTCAGCCGATATTTCGCTGCTCTGGTTATTATCATCTGTATTTATCAAATCCATATCTACCAAGATTTTCATAGTTACAGTGACAACAACGATGTGATACTTCCCTGACTAGGCCGGAAAAATGTTTCTTTCTCAGGGAAAAAGCGTCCGGGAAGGGAGCAATTCCTGGACGGTTGCCAAAAATAGTAATTCATGTAATAAGCCCGGAAAATACTGTTTTTTGGACGAGTATACGAAATTCTAGACGGAGCCGTAGGCGAGTCCTGGAAGTCTGCGAGTCCAAAAAGACTGTTTTTGGACGTGTTAGGTACAAGATTTCTTAGGCAACCATGTAGAATAACGAATCAATGAGACACATTTCCATATTATATTTCTTTGTAGAATACAATTTCTGCTTCATTAATTCTCATTTGTAGAGTCCTATGGGTAGACCATGTACCTATCACTGTTCTGTGGTAGACTCAGTAAGGTCAATTATGCTCTGAAAGTACTTAGGACAGTTGTAGATCACGATGCTCTCAAGGCAGCTTACTTTGAACATTTCTATTCAATGATGTGTTTCGGTATAATCTTTTGGGATGGTTCACACAGTCAAGAAGTATTTGTGATCAAAAGAGGTCAATTGGTATTCTGACTAACTTGAAAACTTCAGAATCTTGTCTTGCATGGCTATTTCAAAAAACCCAATCTCTTGACATTGCCTGGTGCATATTTGCTTGAATGTGTCAATTTTGTATACAACAAACATATATTCAATGATTCCTGACATAATCATTTCCACAATATGAGACAGAAAGAAACATTTTCATTTCCACTACACAAGACATCCCTTTTTGAGAAAAGTTGTTATTATCAGTGCTTAAGGTTCAATAATATGCTCCCAAACGATATCAAACAAATCAAAACCTTCACTAGTTCCAAAAAAATCATAAAATCAATATAGTCACGATAGAACCTTATAAAATACAGGATATCAATGAAGCAATTATATTCCTCTGTCAGAATAAGGGAAGATAAGGAAATTATGTAATGTTTTGTCCCTAATACTAATTGAATTCTATTCTATTGTATTCTATTCTATCAAATACTGAAATTTTCAGGAAATATATACCTACCTATACCTACTAACTGTTACATTTGAAATTTCGTATGGACATTTTCAAACTCAATATCACTGCTTCTTTCGATAGTTTATTGCCATTATTGCAACCGAACTCCATATACGTATTAATAAACAATACGGATCATAACGGGTGCCAGGATGAAGCCAAAAATATGAAACAAATGAATATCCATAAGGATTTGGTGGCATGATACGCATGCGCCATGCGCTATTATAGTAGTCATCAAAGACATGCGTTTCGGTGGACAATGACGTTTACTAGCCTTTCAATCAAAGCAGTATGTGTCTGATCGTTTCAAAACTTTTCCTTATGGATAGTCATTTGTCTTCAAAAATTGGCTTCATGTTTCGCTATGGAAACAGATAGAGATTATCCGTATTGATTATTAATACGTATATGCCGAACTCTCAAAAATCCAAATATCAATTAACTTCATGTCAAATATCTGTCAGCCGATATTTCGCTGCTATGGAAATTATCATCTGCATAGATCAAAACCATATCTACCAAGATTCTCATAGTTACAGTGACAACAACGATGTGATACTTCCTGGCCTAGTTTGGGAAGTACGTACTTCTTGGACTAGGCCATAAAAATGCTACTTTCTCAAAGAAAAAGCGTCCGGGCAGTGAGCACTTCCCGGACGGTTGCCGAAAATAGTTATTTATGATATAAGTGCTAAAAGTGACATTTTATTTTGTGAGAACGAAAGAAAAAACACTTTTAGCACATATATCATACACTATTTTTTCCACAAACACCATTGAAAGGCCAAATCAACGCATAAATATTCTACATTACTTATTAATTGATTAAATAACAGCCTCGCTTTTATCAGTTTTGAATCCAATTCGATCTAATCTATTCATGAAACAAGTTACCAAGGTAAACAAAAATTGAAATTGTTGAGTCATCTTCCTTGACAACTAACGTCAATAAATCACGAACTATTCTTCCTCGTTTCTTCGTTCCTCGATGGAAAGTGCCCAAGAAAATGAATTTCTTCCTCCGCAAATTGAAGAAGCTGCCAATAAAGCTGTTTTTAAATTATTGCCTAGTAAGTCAAAGTACGAGTATTCATACGAACGTTTCTTGAAATGGTGTGATCAGAAAAATGTTAGTGGAAAGGAGGAGTGAAAAAGTGCTTCTTGCATACTTTTAAGAAAAGCCCAAAATATATAAATCGTCAACGCTTTGGTCGAATTACTCTATGTTAGAGTCGATGATGAACATAAATGATCATGACATATAAGCAGATATCACAAGCTTGTGGCTTTTTTGAAGCGGAAAGGTGGAGGATATCGACCGAAAAAGTCAAAAGTATTGACAAGAGAACAAATCGACAAATTTCTCGCTGAAGCCCCAGATGAAATATATCTAATGCAGAAAATTGCTGCGATTTTTGGTATTTTTGGAGCCTGTCGTCGAGAAGAACTGTGCGATTCGACATTAAATAATATCGAGGATTCCGGAACTTCACTAGTTGTGCATATACCAGACACAAAAACTAATGTGCAACGCACCTTTGTTGTAAGTGGTACATTGTATATATATGAACTACTACAAAAAGTACATAGCCCTTCGTCCAGTGGATATTAATCATTCTAGAGTTTTTATAAAATGCATTGGAAATAAATGTGCCAGGGCTTCAGTTGGAATCAACACATTTGGTAAGATGCCTGCCAAAATTGCCGAATTTCTTAATTTGCCTGATTCCCATCTATATACTGGACATTGTTTCCGACGTTCCTCAGCTTGTTCGTAGGCTGACTCTGGGCTAGTCTTACTACAATTAAAAGACATGGTGGATGGAAGTCCAGTACAGTAGCAGAGGGTTATATAGAAGACTCGCTACAAAGGAAACAGAACATTGCAGATCAAATTTTGTCGAAAACTTCGGCAGATAATACTGCTCTCTGCCCTGGTACAAGCTTCACGAGAATAAATTCTGTCACATCTACCAATGAGACTGGCCATGGAGTGTCGTATCATAATTGTAGTTTCACTAATTGTACTTTTGATTGAATGAACACTTCATTCTAAATAAGGAATACGCATGATTTTTTGTTTAATCGAAATTATATTCCTTCTTCCTTATAATAACATTGGATATCATTCATTAATCTCAAATTTGCTTGTGACTCTAAAAAATTTCATTTAAATGAGGCTAAATATGAAGTCACAGGAAAACGGGTTAGTGGCCATCACTAATATTATGACGTCATAGTATTAGGCCGCACAGCCATAGACTAGCGCGACAGAATGACAAGATTCAGATTGAAAAAAAAAAGAAGAAGAAGAGGTAGGAGAAGAAAACGGTTTTGAACGCCAGAAATTTGAAATTTGAAAATGGAAAATTATAATGTTTATACCAAATACTGTTTAGTGCCGCAATGCCTTTCATCAACAAAAGTATCACCAGGAAAAATATTCCTTTCATTGCCAGTGGGATCGAGTGATAAAAATAAAGAGAAAAGGAATTTATGGTTGCAAGCCATAAATAGAAATGATTTATCCGAGAAAACCAGAGGATTTGTTTGTGAAGACCATTTCGAAGTAAGTATACGTTCAAGTATGTCCTAGTGAAACCCATTATATATAAATGATTATGTTCCTCATGTTATTAATAATATAATATATGTGATTTCGTTTTCAGCTTGAAGAAGATACGGAAAACTATATGAGATATAAATTGATAGGTGGTAATATATATTTGAAACAACATGCAAAAAGAAGTCCTGTTTGATCATTCGTATTGTAGATATTTGCTTATTATTCAGTTATTATTATTCAGAATATTGAGATCATATAATTGAGATAGATTAAAAAAACTACAAGCTCAGATAATCATAACCTCACTTTCTCTTCTTATATTATTTTCAATCTTTCGGACATGAATGTTTGACATGACAAATAAAAACAGCCACATCCAGTCGGAAATCATCGCTGCAGTTCGGCTGTTGGTCGGAAAGTTGCAAATATTATGATTTTCAATCAGAAATTATTAAATATTTGGTGCTTAATAATGTTTTTCGGATGTATAATTCGACATCTATACATATGAGTAATGGAACAAAAATATATTCCAGTGTAAAATTTTCACACGCGTATACCCTATTATGTTTACATATTTTCTCATAAAAATAAATCACTTTTAGCACTACACCTTTTCCAGATGTATTTCAGAAAGCGTCAATTTAATTTCAGAATAGTCACTTGTATTTCAGAATAGTCAATTCAATTTCAGATAGCGTCAAATGTATTTCAGAATAATCACTTGCATTTCAGAAAGCATCAATTGCATTTCAGAATAGTCAATTCAATTTCAGAAAACGTAAATTGTATTTCAGAATAATCAATTCAATTTCAGAAAGCATCACTTGTATTTCAGAATAGTCAATTGAATTTCAGAAAGTGTCAATTGTATTTCAGAAAGTATCATTTGAATTTCAGAAAGCGTCATGTCAGAAAGCATGAATTGTATTTCAGAATAGGCAATTGAATTTCAGAAATCGTTCTCTATAGACTGGAAGCCAGCGACCACCAGACATCATTTCAACAAGGTTGATATTTTCTATGTGTGTTATATCCTATTCGGTAGAATCGTTTTGGGGGTTGAAAATCTTCAGTACTGGATGGGCTTTCGAGAGATACCGGGTGTTGAAAGTACGAAAAAAAAAACTGGCAAAAACATAATTTCAACAAAAGCTGATCATTTTATGTTCAATCGGATCATATCATGAAAGAGAATATACAATTGCCAGGCACTTTCCACGGGGTGTTCTCCTGCCAGACAACTTTATAAATCGTGAAAATATGACATCCACGTCATAGCAACAGAGCTTGTTTTTGTAAATGTCATTAGATAGATAGATAGATAGATAGATTTATTGGTGTTACTATACATTAAAGTACTTACACAAGTCATAAAATGTCAATACACACTTATACATGTAGCTGGACAATATACAAATATATAAGACTATCGAAATCATGTACAACATGTTAAAATAATTAAAAAAAAGAAAACCTGGGTCTTGTTCACTTGATCATTTCTAGTTTGATAATACCAAATCATTGAAATTGTTTGTGAGATATTCTCCAATTGAGTAAAATGCTTTTGTTAAAAGATAATTTTTGAATATTTTAGTAAAACAATTCAAATTCAAATTTACATTTTTGAGTTCATCTGGGAGTACATTGTACATTTTGGGGCCGAAGTAACTAGTACCGTCTCTGGTCTTTTCAAGGCGATGATATTTAGGTAACAATTTACCTCTGTTACGTGTGTCGTAGCCGTAGGAATCTCCAGTTGTACTATATGCATCCAAATTTTTTTTGAAGTCTATGTTACAGTATCAAACAGCCATCAGTCACTTATTCCTATTGGACAATCATGTAAAAATCAGAACTTCTACATAGCAATAGGAATAAGTGTATCTATGATAGTCCCCTATACCAAAAATCCTGTAATCTGTTCATCAAATAGTATGATTGAATCGAGGATTGAATTGAAAACATCACTACAGGAAGCACTGAACATCCTATGCATTCTTACATGGAGTGCACTTTCTACTAACTAATCGATCTTGATGCTTTCTGAAATTCAATTGACGCTTTCTGAAATTCAAATGATATTATCTGGAATACAAATGACGCTTTCTGAAATTCAATTGACTATTCTGAAATACAATTGACGCTTTCTGAAATACAAGTTACTATTCTGAAATACAATTGACCCTTTCTGAAATTAAATTGACTATTCTGAAATACAATTGATGCTTTCTGAAATTGAATTTACTATTCTGAAACACAATTAATGCTTTCTGAAATTGAATTGACTATTCTGAAATACAATTGACGCTTTCTGAAATACAATTGACTATTCTGAAGTACAATTGACGCTTTCTGAAATTGAATTGACGCTTTCTGAAATCGAATTGACGCTTTCTGAAATTGAATTGACGCTTTCTGAAATACATCTGGAGAAGGTGTAGTGCTAAAAGTGATTTACTTTTAACACCAGTCTCATAAACTGACATTTTAGACACAGACAGCATGCGTCAAAAATTATACTTTTACTGACGTTTGTAGAAAAAAATATTTACCTGCAAGGCCCAAGACCCGTTGGCAGCGAAAGTGTATCCAGCATGGATGATGTGCCTATGTCTGGTGAAGCTGCTCAGCAGGTTTCGCATACACTGCACCAAAGTACTCACCACAGGGTGGATCAAGATTTCTGTGACGAGGTTTTCTGATGCGAATTGGATCAGACGCTCTCCTATAATAATAATCGAAATAAATACTTTTTTATGCACGACCGGCGGTGAAGTAGCAATTTACCGCATGGTTTTGCGGGCGTGAAGTGTCACTTCAACGCCGTTGTAGTATCACTCTGTAGCGTATAGACGTAGGGGTCTATACGTGTGACTATAGATGGCAGCGCTATACAGTGTGTGTCGCGATTTCTGTATCCTACTTTAGAGCTTCGCCACTAGATGGCTACAACATGACTATAACTTCATGTTATACCCTGCGTCTTCGAAATGGGTGATATACCAGAAGCGTAGAGTTCCAGTTGTCAGCAGACCGAGAGCGGCTGATGAGACCTGGTGGGTCTAAACAGCACTGTCTCGCTCCTGCTGACAATTGGGGCAACTTTGTTCATCTTGGATCTCTTAGCGATAGGAAAGATAATGGAAAGAATCCAAAGGTGAGAATGTTGAGAAAAGAAAAGGCTAAAGTGTAATTTCAATTATTTTGACTCGATAACGTAACTGTTGCACTCCACAGGTTATTAGAGATTTCATGAGAAAAACAAGCTGATTATCATAGAGAAGAGTATTTTGTGCAGATAAAGTTTGCACACCAATGTTGAGAAGGAAATAACATGTCATTTCGAACAAGAACGTCCAAATCTGACAAGTAGTTTTGACGAGAAGGTTTCCTGGCTACTTTTTGGTGAAGCGTAAATTCCTTGGAGGAGTGTATATTCATTAGGCTGTTCTGATAGAATATTCATGAACTTTGTAAGGCCCCTGTGAAAGCAAATTAAGTAAATGGGTGCTCAACAGTATCATTTGCCTGAATGTTTTCTCATTCCTGATTCAGGTCTGTCGCTTCTATATATTTTCCATAACTTACCATATCTAGCTTCTTCGCCCTCCAACCGTTGCTCCGTTATAATAGCTAATTCCTTTTCTAAATCTACCAAGCAGTCATTAGCATCCCAAGAAAGGAGTCCTGAAACAAGGATCCAATAATTATCGTCTCGTCTATGTAGGCATATACAAATAAAAAGATTTAAATGATTACTTTATTCACACCCGGCTGGGCCTATAAAATGTCATGATTGAAGTCACATGATATGCGATATCAGCGGCTATTTAGGTAAACAAACAATATGAGCGGCTATTCTGTTTGCCAGCATGAGAGTACTATAGTTGTCAAACTTTGACATACTTATCAGTCTCTCAAAAATTGAAATGTCTCGTATTAGGTCAACTCCCACTAAGGAAATCCGTGATTATGTAAGTGCGATATCAGAAAATAACCAGGAGAGTAAAGAGGCTGTCTGGAACAATTCATGTTTTTTTGTCAGCAGAAAAAATATAAATTTTGTGCGACTACCCAACTCTCGTGATTGCCCAAATCCTGAAAGATTGGGTGAGGAGAATGGAGAGGAATATTAGGAATACACAGTTGAAATTGTTATGGAGAACTAAATACAGGAAGGTTACTTCAATTAACATGAACGTAAGATGAATCCATTTGAATGAATCGAATTCAAAGGTGCGCATAATGCAAAAATACGAAGCCTACAATATTTTCCTCAAACAAGGAAGAAAAGTACAGAAGCTCTAATCGAAGAATATTAACGCTAACAATAGCGTTAATATCCTTTCTTTGCTTCAACTTCAGATGAATTGATTGCAATTGTACGTAGATATGATGAGAATACCCCGAACGGCCTTCAGAAGAAATGTTGAAACTCATACGAGTATTTTCACACTGTTCATGACATAATCTTCCTGAATATCACTCAACCATGACAAAAAGAGACTATTATATTTTCCCCAATTCATCTCGAGTAACTTGTATTTTGAGACAATTCAATTCGACCATGTGAACATAAATAATCATAGAATAACATCAGATTATCAATGTTCATATGGTCTAATCAAATTGGCAAACATGGTACTCTCGATAGAATTATGGAGAAAATAATTGTAGGCTATTTGTCATGGTCTCGGGGTATTACCCGCGACTATTTTTAGGAGATACACAAATGGTTGAATGTGGATGAAGTTGTGCATTTATGTTACTAGAAATATGCCGTCGAGAACATTCCTAGATCCCTTTCATTTCCGGAGATATACGAAACAACAGAGATTTTGATTATTCATTTCCATTTTTTCCTGTCTTCATTTATTGAAGAATATAGAAATTGATAGTAAATTCATAATGCCACTTTCTTCCTGATGGTACGATGACATTTTAATATTCACTATCTGACGATTCAACTTTATTTTTCCTTATTGGCGCCATTTTGGATTTCCATGAATAATAATTGTATGTTGAACATGAACATTAATCAAGAAATGTCTCCTGAAGGAGCTACTGACCTCAGAACGGGGGCTCCTGAAGATGATATTTCTTGAATATTTCCGAAACGCCATGTAATGAAATAATGCAATTTGGTGCAAGAACGAAACTTCCTATGTCCATTGTAGTGAAGATATATTCATTTCAAAATTACATTCAGGAGTCTATATATTCTAGAGAGTGGGACTACATTGAATATTGCTCAATTTTTTTTGTATAAAAATTTTCCACAATTTGATCTTGGGTTATGAAAATCAACACCATTTAACAGAAAAATGGTGCACTTGTTCCATATCGATCAGATGTATCATTTTCGAGTGAAATCGATTTGAGAATATTTCTACACTCACAGCCATATGCATAACATTGCCAATTCTCAAATCATAGTACCTACCTGAAAAAAATAAACTACTTCCTTTTCACCAAAGAGATTCATAGAGGCGCGTAAAATCGAAAAATGATGATAAAAAACAACTTTTTTTTATTGACTTCCATAGCAAATGTAAGAACTTGGCATGCCTAACTTATATATATATACAACTAGGGAAAAAGCCAAATACTCAAAGTGGATATATATTCTACTTTCCCAACCTGAAGAATTAGAATAGGGAATTTCACTATGATTTTTTGAATTTTTTTTCACGATTCAGAACACATACTGGTTGAATTCAGCATTTTTTCAATTTCCTCACGATTGCGGTTGACCCAGAAAAAAATTATTGAATTGAACCTAAATTCAAACGATAGCCCGAATGCGCGCGATATATTGATGGCATTTCATTGGACGAATACAAGGTGCGTCACACCGCGTCATACACTTGGTATTGTCACCAATTGTCATTGCATTTGTCACTCAATAAAAACTATAATAGTGACAATAACGGCTAAATATCTTAGAGTGTCGAACAGTCTAGATATTTAGCCGCCATTGATAGTGATGATGATGGAAGTAAGATATGGTGTAATTGCTGATGCGCTTTTGTTTCAAAAATTCTACTCGACCTCTCGAGAACAGTGAGAGCAAGGGTTCCGTCGATCTTCTAATAGATGGCGACATTGCACAATTATGATCTGTCAGTTTTCAAATTGTCGCAGATTTTTCGAATTCAGAGTTGAATAATCCCACTGTTACATATGTTCCGCGTATCTAAAATACCATTTGCCATTTTATTTCCACCCGTTACAGCAACAATAGCAGCATCACCATCTAGCGGGAAAATGTAGAATCAACGTCTCGCTGGTTGTGACGTAGAAAAATCATAGTAGGCGGTCTAGTGATTTTTCTGAAATTTTCAATACGTAATAAAGGCCGAATGCGCGCACCATATCTCACTTTCATCATTCTAGTGATATTCTTTCGTTCTGAACGTACTGACACATTTCACTCGAACTGAACTGAATCAGTTGACATACAATGAACGTCATTTGAAAGAACGCATATTAACTGATTCAGTTCAGTTCAAGTAAAATAATTGAGTTAATTCAGATTGAAAGAATCTCACTAATATGACACTGATAGATCACTGAGAATGAAATGAAATAATGAACTATGAACTAGATTTCGAGATTAATCTTTTTCATCTTCTATAGTTTGTTTTGTAGAAATTTTTCTCTCAAGTCACAGATCACCCAACCACTCTGTGCTCGAGTTATGTGTCTGTGGTTTTGTGCAACGCACCCTCTTTGGGTCGTCAGAGGGAGCCTCAAGAAAATACAAGTGACGTCACACCGCGAAAAATGGTCGTTTGGAACTCTCTCTCGATTTGTAGCACGCTTGAAGTATTAATTGAACCGTTGCAAAGGAATCAATTGATGAAAGGAAGTGCTATTTCATATACTGAGTCATGCATGAGACCGTTCGCCATATAAAAAGCACTATTTTCAAAGAACATCGTGCGTTCCTAGGAAGGATTGGGACAGGAGTTAGGTATTGGATTTTTTTCTGAACTTCTGAAGATTATATGTTCTTGAAAATACCTCCTCAGGCAATGAATTCCAGAGCCTAGCCGTTCTATGGATGAAGGAGTTTTGATAAAGTGCTGTTCGACATCTTTCGAGGTTGACAACGAGAAAATGTGCTGACTAGGCTTGTCTAGTTCGTATGACTGGTATTGCTAGTGAAGGGATGATAGCAGAGATTTCCGAAGAACATTTCCCGTAGAAGTATCGATAGAGAAGTGAAAGGTCGCCGACCTTTCTACGGTGTTCCAATGATGTCAACGAGTGAGTGAGTGTGGCGTCACCCACCAGGCGAATGGCTCTTCTCTGGATGGAATCTAAGAGCATCAGCGTGTGTTTTGGTGCTGAACCTCATATGTGGGAACAGTATTCTAGAACAGGCCATATCTGCGCTTTGTAGATCATGAGAAGCTGTTGCTTGATATCATAATAACCTCCTAATGTTATCAATCGCACATAAGCTTTTTGGTCGTAAACCATTGCAAATGATTATGTGGTCTTTTATACGGTTCAAGAAGTCATTATGTTGATTTTATGACTTTGTGCTACTTGGGGGGGGGGGGATTCTTGAGTGGATCACTCTGTATATCAGAGAGATGGGACTGCTATAAAAGTGGAGAGTGGTGAATATCGGGAATTGAAGGTTTATCACTTATAATACTAGGAGAGCTTCAATTATTACCGGAAAATTCTTCGAAAAAATGCTCTAAATATTAGTAATCGAGAGAAAATATTCTGTTTTTGATGGAAGTTCCACAACAAAATATTTTTCAAAAAATACTAGCATACGATTACGCTAAATAAAATACAAGGCACCGACTTTAGTTACACAAGATAATAATGAGGCAACTGGTTCTAGTTCAGACAATTATTTCTGACTAACTTTATTCCATTGAAGTTGGTGAGAACATAATTTGTTACAAAGAACTCGAACTCGAACTCGAAGCCTCGCTCGAAGGAGTATGTACATCCAAAACATTGTTAGATTAAATAAAACAGAATTAACTTACTTCAGCTACCCATAATAATAAAAAAGTAGTATCTCAATTTCTCAGTATTTCACAAATTCATTTCACTATACTAGGTAGAAATATATTTTCTCACAAGAAACTCGAAGTACAATTCAATATATCACTGGAATTTGCTCAGGTAATATTATCTGTATGAATATTTGTATGAATAACGACTGCAGTTGAATTGAATAATGGAGGATAAGTAGATAGTAACTCGAACTCTCAGTTTTCCATAAATTCATCTCTCTGAATGAGCTATAAATATACCTTCTTACAACGAACTCAAAGAATAAATTCGACATAATCTGAAGTTATCGGAGTTCAATGTGAATTTCATTTGACCAATATCAACGTCAAAAAAAATTCCAGTGTAATTTCCTTTCCGCAAATAGGAGGAAAATATTTCCACAATCTTTTTTTAGTTGCTCTGGTAACGATACAAAATACAGGCCATCAATTATCTTCAAGAGTTTTTGACAATACAGTATTGATTGATTTGATTGATTTATAGCAGAATGATGAGTCAAGCACTGCAGCCTTTGGGCCTATACTATTCTTGATCATGCTGTTGACTCAAGTGAACAGGTTCGCTACCTTGATAAGGTTCAGCAGCATATCTTTTTTTTATTATTTTTTTTTTCATTTTACAAGAAAGGGCAAACTCAA